CCGGCACCGCAGGTTATAAGTGCACCCACGACGTCCAACGGTGTGAGTGGTTATCAGCTCGGATGGGGCTGAGTGATGTTGGGGCAGTGGCACTCGGCAGACTGCCGCGGCTCTGGCATCTGACAACTATAACCTCACGTGGACTACAGGTTGTCAACTTCGAACACCCAGAAGTTCTTACCAGAGTGCTAGAGACGCGGTATAAGGCCAAGGGCACCATAAGCGGGAGTGTTCGCTGCTGTGAAGGCGGGCCGAGAACACTGAGACAATAACAGACAGCCGCCGCTCTCACTGCTCGAGCCACCATCACCCCAAACCAACAAGCTGAGGGTCAGATCGGCAGCCCCTACATGATACCGATTGCACCAATCGACCCGGGCCGGTTCCAACGGAACTGGCCAGTCAGTGGAAATCCTCACATCCAAACCTTTGCCACTAGTTAACCCAGGGACATCTCGCGCTATGAGGAGCACTTCCAAGTTTCTTTGCAGCAACGTGAGAGTACTCCGGAGTAACACGTCAGGGCCGCGATCCCTCTGTTCCGACCTTGTCCCTTAAGTCACAAGACCAACGAAAACATGGTGACCACTGGACATTAGTGAAACCGAATTTAACACAGATGACATGCTTCTGTTCAGGAGGGACAGGGAGTACAGGGGCGGGGGGTTGCAATATACGTGAATAGTTGGCTCTAAAGTGATCTAACCACTGACACTGTACCAACAGGGCTCCCAGACTCTATCTGGTGCCACTTCACGGTCGAACACACCAAGTGCCCAGTCGGAGGAATACCATCAAAGTGGCTGAACTGCACGAAAAAATTGGCGACGACACCCGCTGAGGGTCAGATGGTAAACCATCTAAGCCGGATTAACTGCTGACCTGTGATCACCTTCTGGTTGAAAACGTCCAGGTCCAAACTCCTCCTGGAGGCAGCGACCATGCTGCCGTAGTGTTTGATTTGGCAATCAGTGAATCAGTGGGACGGACCTGGTCCCTACCTCTGCTGCAGCAGGATAAACCGTGAACGGATGGACCAAAGCCTACCGAGAGCTCTATGGCCAGTAGACTGGTGCTCTTTATCGGTTGACCAACACTGGGGGCCGGTAGGATGTATCACTAAGGCGGCGATCTAGCAAAACGTTTTTCTGGTGGTAACAACACCCAGATAGCGGACCTCATGGCTAAAGCGAGGCACTGGGAGCCTATCAAAAGCCAAGAGAAGGGCATGATACAAGTGAGGACTGTCCAGAGAGAAGAACGATCACGACGCATTTATGGCACCATGAAATCGTAGCAACATCAGGTTGCGGGGGGGCAGGAGATCCTTCTGGTTCATTCTCCTTGAGGTAAACCCCAAAAACCTATACCGATTCATGGCAAAGAGAAAATCAGCAAGCCAAGGGGCATGCGTCATAAAACCTCCGAACGGAGAAAACTTCTCTGGACAGGAGATGGCAGAAATGTTAAGCGCCACATTTGACGCACAGCTCAGTATTCCATCGGGAAAACATCTATACCTACTGCCCAGACAGCCCCCAAAGTTATCCGACGCTGCAGAGTTACAGATGACTCGTGCTGCAGTTCTCGACAAGCCATCAAGGCTAAGCGCGAGAAAATCCATCTGTGTTGAAAGAGTGTGCAAGTTGCTTAAGTGGCTCGCTCTGCAGTCTCTTCCAACACGCCTTCGACGAACGTGAGCTCCCAAGGAGGGTGGAAACGGGCTGTCCTCTCCCCAATCTCCAAAGGAGGAGACAGGCAGAAACCAGAATGTTATGGACTCATAGCACTTCTACCAGTAATATCAAAAGTTAGGGAAGTGTGACAGACGACCGCATCAAAGGTCATCTGGACACAAGGCCGGCGCTCATTGACGTTGAACATGGCTTCCGAAAGGGTGGGTCCCGTGCCCCCAACCTTTTAACGGCTGATGATCGCCGGGCAGCATGCTGGGATCACGGGGTCCCGGCCCATGACATTTTTCTGGATTTCACCGAGGCCTTTGACGCTGTCCCATACACCATCCTACTGCACGAAATAGCTGGGTTAGGTATTCGCGGCTGGGTGCTATCGTGGCTGCAGAGCTATTTAGACGGTAGGGAGTTCTGCACAAAAGTCAACAGGGTCCACTCAACTTGGTGAACACCATCATCGGGAGTCTCACAAGGAGGAACCCTTGGTTCATTGTTGCTCCTACCTACCGCTGCATATTAGCCCTCCGATTCTCCTCTACGCTGATGATGCCAAGTTATGGAGGGCAGTAACTTGCGAAGCGGAATCGAGTGCATTACAGAACGACCTCAAAACACAAGAGGAATGGGCAACAAATAACCAACTGGTGTTTAGCCTGGATAAGCGCCGGTCCATGTTTTTCCGCACTCCTGATCCCCAGAAAGTATCCTACTATCTCTGTGGTTCACGTCTAGCCCATACCACATCAGAAAAAGACCTGGGTTTAACGGCAACGGAGAAACTGGACGCCAGTTCCAGTTACTCAGGTGACGCCTCAAAAGCAAACGTGCACTGCACTTTGTGCGCAGACAACTGGGTGCCCTTACCCCAGGGCTCTCTCCGAAGCTCTACAGGACTCACATTCGACCCCACTTGGAGGTCCATAATGTCTTCGCTTAACTTAAAATAGGCACGAACCTACTGGAGAAGGTTCAGAGGCTAGCTGCAAAAGGGGTTGTAGGGTTCAAGTGTTAATATTGCGTGACGTTTGATCAACCCTACTCGACTAGATGACGCAAGGTCGAGTGCACCTTTTGTCATTAGCACCGTGACTTTTATGGTACCAGCACAGCCTGGGTTGGGATTGTCGCGATTCGGAACACCTGTTACCGGTACGGGAGGCAGATCTTTTGCGAAGGTAAGGCGTGCGGTCATTGGAAGAACTCCTAGGCTGCATTTCTTTCCTGCTAAAGCAAAATTCCCCATACAACCTCGAGGTGTGAGCTAAAACGTCAAGGGGGGGGGCAGGAGTTTTCGGACGAATCAGTGGCAGTAGACGATGCGGCTGAGATACTGGTGTTGGGCTCTACAACCTCTATAACCACGGTTGGCTGAGAAATGCTTCATAAATATTGAGAGCTGCAACCAACTGTTTCATCTGACGAAGCAGTGTTGTCGGCTTACAATAGCCAAGATGCACATCCCTGAAAAGTTCTTGTACCTTCTGCTGGTCAGTGAGTGCAACGCATTTGATGAGGGCGGTTTTGAGGCGATCGTACGGGTTCCGGTGCTTGGTCGTCTAGCACGTCTGAGACATCTTCGATCGAATTTTCCGGTAAGCTGAAGGTGGGAAGCTGAAGGGTTATGGCCATCTGCTCCGTCGAGCTGTTGTCAACCATCGATAGAGGGTTTGACGAGTCATGAAGTTGGTAATAAGAAAGCTATAATACAAAAATAACCAACGGGGAATGCAATAAAAAGCTCAAGACCATGCCAAAAACAAAATTAGGCCGAACAAATCAACGCAGGATAAGAAAAAAAGTACTAGACAAAGTAAGACTTGGTACTGGGGCTCACCAATTGTGGCGGTGCTTGTTTTACTATTCCGTGACGTTTGACCAACCCTACTAAACTTGACGTGCCGTAGTGCCTGCTTAACCAGTACCTCACCTTGCATGTAAGTACTGATAACGAACCACAAATCAAAAGGAGTGGTTCAGGAATACATTTGAAGAAGTTATGTATTTAACTGGAGCAAATGTGATGGTAATGAATGAGGGAAAAGTTTATTCAACTTATCTGGCTGGAATGGCTAATCTAGGGACTCCGTGTACGTGCGTGCCAACCAGCACTAAGGAAGCGCAGAATGTTGTCCAAGCCTGCTCGGATGCACGCCCGTTAAAACAAAGCTTAAGACACTCTAAGCATCAGTAGGCGAGCTACAGGTTTATTTAGTTAATTTAATTTTAGCCATTTATTTTAGCCCTAGTTGTGTTTTTGTGTCAGGAAGATGCACTACGAGGTCGTTGGTAGGCGACGAAAACCATATGAGGACAGACTGAAAGACCTAGGCGAATACTCTCCTAAGCACCGAAGGTTACGGGGTGACTTGCTGATGACCTACAAAACACTGAACAACCCAAGTCACCGGAACAGAGAATTACAACTGAGTGGCTACTATGATGATCCTCTTGGAAACTGTAAAAGAATTACGAGTTGACTATCTAAGATAGTCGTAGTTTTACAGGCTAGTATTGTTGATACTGGGTGATGACTGAAGGTGAGATGAAAATCTGGACCGCGGCAGGATTCGAACCAGCCACCACCTGAGAGAATTGCCCACTAAAGTCCAAGAACTCATGTGCGTTCACATTCCTCCTCCCTCCAAGTCCGCAGGAACTGGAATGCGTTACCAGCTCAGGTATTTTTCACCCCATCCATTGAAAGCTCCACGAAAAGGCCAGACAATCATGCAGAGACCAATGGTCTACCCACATATAGCTGAAATACGAACTAGGCAGAAGAAATCTGCTGCTTTCACGCCATTCCAACTATTTTACCGCTACAACCCGTTTTCTTCCGACGGTAACCATCTAATCCCCTTTCGTTCCCTCCAACTGCCATGAGTTAGACTTACCAACCTAAGTTCTTCATATCATTTGTTCACCTCTTCGCCAAACTTGGGCGTAGGTAGATTATCCCATTTGTTTACTTTTCGTTCCCTTTTACTCACACAAATTTTCCAACATAGGTTTTCTCTTCACTACTTCTAACTCCCTCTAAAGATTAGTCAGAACAACTGTCTGGCAACCCGACATATGAAGAAGCCAACTTTACTATGCATGGTCCAAGGCGAACTAACTAACACCTAACTTCCAGTTCTGTATACCAGAGATATAACAAACGGGTGGCTGGATCTACGGCATTTAAATCCACCAAGGATCTGGAACCATCCCGCAAGACCAGGAAGCGAGCAAGAAGAAATCAACTGGCTTACACAAGGTCGTAAACAGATATTAGATAATGGATATTGAAAAAGCGGGCTATTTAGTTGTGTTCGGTACTGTGTGGAATTTGTCTTAGTTTGTGGTTGCTAACACGTATGGGACACTTTTAAGATTGGAGCAGTGTAAATGTCGAGTCACTGTTTATGTGGTTCTTGTTATTATAATCCGAAAATTTGAAGGAAAATTATGGCAAAGTCGTTCCTGCGGCACTTTATAACCAGAAACAATGATCGCTTTTCTAATCTTTTGGTAATATTCGGCACTTGATGCATAAGTGTATCACTCTTCTCCCTTGTTTAACCTTGCGTTCTGTATAAGGGATCAACTTACGTAGGCGTATAGTCGGCGCATATTATTGCTGTCGGTTATCCGAGCTTCCCCTCGAAAATATTGAACAAAATTACTGGTTAGTATGCTGATAATCTTGTTTAAACTTGACGCTCACTCTCTTCGAAACTTCAGTGTCTTCCGAGTCTTTCTAGCTGGACAGTTAGGAAGCTAGCACAATTTAGTAATACTTAAAATCTAGATAAGTAATCATAATCAGTGACATCATATGAAGGTCAATGCTAGCCTTTAGGAAGTTAAACCAGTTGTATAGTTTGCAAGATATCTAACTGCACTTTAAGGATCGATCTACCACACAGCACTGACTGTCATACTCTATGGCTGTGACGCTGATACGAAAGCGTCTTAGATATTCGACCACTGTTAATTTAATCCCATTGGTCATACTACATGGAGCCACCAAATGACTAAAGAAAAGCTTAGGCGTAGTGTCCTAGGCAGAACAGGTAATTCATCTGGCGCGTAGACCGTTCTATGAACTGGCCGAAACGTATTGCTTGTGCTGGCTCTTTGTCAAGTATTACTACAGTATTCCCCTTATTCGCCTGAGCAGTAGCTAAAGATTTATCTGCACCCAGTTCCTTCAGTACTGTTAGAACCAACTTAGTGGGGTGGAGCGAAGGATTGACAACCGAATCCTTGTTTATGTTTAATTTTCCAATCAACAAATGCATGCAACAAGAGTGACTGAGCGCCTGTCTCACATATGAAAAGTTCTACCACTCATCACAAAGAAGTCAAGAGATTTGTAACCCTGGTAACGGTTTTCCAAGGTTCTGTATTTATCCTGATATGGCTATGGACAGTAAGTTGTTTCCAAAGCATAATCCAGTAAATATCCTTGTTTCACTGTGAGATACATATACCGAATCATCTCGAATAGGATTAAGGTCTGCCATAACAACCGTTCTACTCACGCGTAACAATAAAGTTCAGCTGCCTATCTTGGACTTCTGATGAGTTTCTGTTCAACATAGCAACTGTCCCCATGGTTTATAGAGTATGTATTATGTGCGACAGTGGCATACGAGGTATTTCTGCAGTTACTTCCAAACGATAGTGTTTGGCTCATCAGCGTTGACAATCAGCTCAGTGGTACAGTTGCAAGTTCAAATTCAGTTCAGTTGATCATCCATCCAAATCAACACAGGACCAGGCATCACTGCGTAACGGTATGACTTGCCACACCTCATATCATTATATCAAGTAAAAAGGCACTGAGGCGCAAGATGAAGATAAGAAATTCACTCAAAAGGAATATAAAGTACTGAAAGAAAAAATGGTAAGATTCGGTATAGCGTCGTTAACATGAGGATAATGTGTGTACACATCTGCGCCACTGACATCAGTTCTGAGCCATATCACCTAGAATCGCCAACCACTGGTTCCTCTTGTCTCGTGCACCCCAACCAGCTAGTCTGCATCGACCCACATGGCTCAAAACAACAGCGAAGGACTTCATACATTGGTGCCATGTTTTAGTCTGGCTACCTCGGGCCTCTTTCCAGCCTGGAAATACTTCAGCCAACATTGTGTGATGGGGCAATCGGAAACTAGGGCTACGTAATACATGTCCCAACCATCTCAGTCGATGAAAGTTCATAACTTCGTCAACTGACTTACCTCTTCTCTCTAGAACTCTATGCCTGACGTCTGCGTTACTCACACGGTGACACCACGGAATACGGCCTATACTACGAAGGTAACTGTGGTCAAACACCTGAAGCCTTCTCATGTCTCCCACCTTCAATGGCCATGTTTCACAGCCATGCAGTAGAACAGACCGGACTGCGAAAATCCTCCCGCGATTAGGTCAACGTCTGCGTAATCAGGTGATGTGAGGGAGACCTCCATGTGGCTATTGTCAACCTCCATAAGAATATCTATGATAAAATTGAATAAGAATGGAGAGAGTTGACATCTTTGATGCATACCACTGGATGAGCATACCTCCCTGGACATCTCACCATAGGCTCTAACACGCCCACAAGTGTTCGAGTAGAGAACCTTCAATAATGTGATATACTTACTCGATACCCCCTTTCAACAAGAGACATTGCCATAAGACTTCTCGATTACCGGAGTCAAATGCCGCTTCCTTCATATCGAGAAATGCAACTATTATCAGGCTTTGGTAAGCGTGCATGTGTTGCAGAAGTCGGCAGAGTGTGGATTTTTTGGTCGATACACCCATGTACAGGTTTAAAGTCTGCCTGCCTGGTTTTATCGGGCTTGCTGTTCTCGAGCTCCACTCAGGCGTCGAAGAATTATAGAACCTAGGATCTTGGACACCATGTTCATCAGACTGATTCCTTTGTGATTATCATAAAAGGGGTTATCGCCTTTCTTGAACACTGGAATAATCAGTGATTCAGACCAGTCAAAGGGGATCGTATTTGATTCCTATATACTAATTAACGCTCGACCAAGTGCACTCTACCACCATTTTTGTATACCTCAGCAGGTAGTCCACCTTGTCCCGCTGCCCTTCCTCGTTTCAATTTATCTACAGTTTTCTCGACTTCTGCAAGTGTTTGGGGCCAATCTCAGTGTTCCATTGAGGATCCGACTGAATAGCGGGGAACGTAATGGTGGCTGGAGACCAGTTAAACTGCTCCTCGAAGTGTTCTGCCTATCGTTCCAGTCATCTCCCCTGCGAGTGAATCGCAGATCCGTCATTCTAAGGTATGGCCTCACTAACCATTATTGACGTTTCCAATCTAGAGAATTGTCTGCTGTCGCCTATCCCTGCTGTCTTCTTTATCTCTTCAGCCTTCGCTGCCCACCACTGTTAGTGGTCATTGTGTAGACTTTTGTCAGTCTACATTTGAGTTGCATTCGCTCTTCATTGTGTTCAAAGAATGCAGGGATGCGTTCGCGTGCATCTATTAATTCTGAAGCTTCTGATATCCACTGGCTCTTTTTAATCACTTTTTGGGAGTCGGCTACGATCTTCAAAACCGTTTTCGCATGAGACTGGAAATGACACCGAGCTTATTCTGAATGCGTGATAGTGTTTTGTTCCGATAACTGCTTATTCAATTTCTCACTGAAAGCGACCTTATTGCTTTCGCTGTCGAGCTGCACTGGCAGTTGTTTTATCGCTAACGTTTTTCTACGTCCATTGAACCAGAAACATATGGGGACTCGAACTATCAGCTGGTCCCTTTTCAAATACGTGCTTCAGAAGGAGAGGTTGTCTTCCATTGACCCTCTCTAGAGATGACTGGTAGCAATGTGATCTATGAGTTCATCTCTCTCAGCTCGCCATGTCAGAGAATGTCCTTTTTATGTCTGAAGTTTGTGATAAAAATTAATGATTATCTAAGCACAGTTACAGTAGGCGTTCTTTGTCTGCTCGTTCAGCCGGGATAGCGACTGCCACTTAAGTGCTTTACTGCTGACTCAGCCTATCCAATTGTTTATTGAAATCACCTGCAACAACCACCACGTCTGAACGTTTAGTTTTCAGGAGGCTAGATAGTTTTCGGTAGATTTCGTCCTTCATTTCATCCGAACTACAGTCAGTGGGTGTGTAAGCATCTGACTTCTCACAAACACAGCACACACCCATTGCCCGAATTGCTAGAGTTTTATTCAATGAAGCTTGTTGACCAGTTTGATGGAGAATGCGAACATTGAAGGCTCCAATGTATAGTTTGGAGAATGGTTTAAGGAGACCAAAGATGCTTTTCTGTGGACTCAGATCGTTGTCGAAGGCTATAGAGCTAGAAAAAATTGAAGATGATGTAGGATTGTTAAGTGAGAGACGTGAAGGTTAGATAAGGGAGGTGGATAGTGGTATGAGGGAACTTGATTGGTGATAGAGTTGTAAGGGCGGTTTACATTCCCCGACTGTTCACACTGTGGAAGGCTGGGTCTTCTTGAGGTACCCGCAAAAGAGAGGCTAGTGCGTAACTATAGGGCCCGTCGGACATCTGCTTGATGTCGGTCACGTACAACCTTTTTGATGTCGCGACAATTGGTCTGAGTTATGGAAGATGTAGTCCGACATACATCCTGTGGTTTTGGATTACTACTGACGACTGATCTAAGCCACCATAATGCATCTTTTTGTCTAACCACTATCCCAAGGACTTTTCTGGTATGGTGGGACCTCTAGGGAAGAAGCGTTCCACCAGTATAGCTCGTTGAGTTATCGTGATATATAGGCCCAATTACCACGTCAATGTAGCAGCCATCTGTCAGGAGCCGAAATTTATCTTCCTCGTTAGTTCAGTATTAAATGAAAGCCTCACCACAACATTAATATAGCAGCTATCAAGTCGGGAAATATATCAGGGTTTTGTACGTAAATCTGTAGTGTGTGTTCACATAGGTACCCGAAACATCTACCTATGTGAACATATACTACAGACATGTACAAAGCCCTGATTTATTTGCTGACCGATAGCTGCTGTACTAATGTTGTGGTCAGACTTTCATTTCACACTGAACCGACGAACCATGCTGGTAGAAAGATTTGTTTCTTGATCTGTTAAATAGTGGTAAGACAAAAAGCGGATATCGCCATATTGTAAGTTCCTACGCTATGATGGTGTTCAAGGTCGAAGTTGTACAACTGGCTGTATGAAGTGTAATCGTGGTGACATGTTTCGCGTGGATAACCAGTCCAAAGGAGGTGGAGTGTAAAGAAGGTCGGCCTGAAAACGAACCTACTACTGTTTACCGGTGGAATGGATTTTCTAATTAGCATAAACTAAGTCAAACCTTGATTGTCAAAAGACGCCACTTAAGTTACATATCACTCTTACTTTACGCCACGCAGAACTAAACTACTTTCTCACTCATGTACCTGAAGAAGCTAAGAATAAGAAGTAACCTCTCACTATGTGGGCCGTCGGAAAGTGAAGGTATGACGTTAAGTCCTAAGCAGAAGGTGCACTACTTGACGGGATCCTGGTTGACAATTGTTCAGTGAGGAATAGATAAAACATTGAAAGTCACCATTGTTTCGTTGTGGCCTCTGTGTGTGCTTCGGCATACTGTCGTTTGTGTAAAATGAAAGATAAGTTTTACGGAAAACCATCTAGCGTCTAACTGAAAGTCAGATGTTCATGAGTAGTTGTTGTAGCAAGTGATTGCAAGGCTTAAGTGAGTGGGCTAGTTCAGACAGACAAAAAAGCCGTTAACTGACACTTTCGGAGTCCTAGCCCAAACTAGGAATATTGGTGATTGCCTGTTACAACTGTGCTCAGACAACAGCGTACTTCTGACCAGCGCTAACCTCCGGCATTATCTGATATGATGTCCTCCGACTTTAGGTCAACCAGTTCATCGATCCATGCGGCTCTCAGTTACCGCTGAAAAGGGCTGGTGTATGACTGTCATATCTGCAGCAATTGTTTGCACTGATCTTACATTGGTTGGAGCACGCATATTTTTATACCTTAATGGATGAAGAAAAACTAAAGCAACAAGATCATTACATGTGCAGCTCTATGATAAGAATGCTAAAGCTGCTTTCACCAAGGTGAGCTGCTTAGGCAGTTGTCAAAACAGGACAAAATCATTCATCCTGAAGAAGTTTGGTGCTACTTTCAGTCAATACCGTCACTGACTCTCAGAAAAAGGTCAGAAAGAGACAATGCATCTCAGCAGCTGCTTGTGAGTTAATACCTACATGCAAATGCATTTCTACAGGCTCCGAGCACAATGAGGAGTAGGAGCCATACAAATGTGGACTGAAAAGACGTTCATGCAAATAATATGAGCAGTGGTGGGCAGCAAAGGTTTCAGAAATGGAATAGGCAGAGTTGATAGATAACAGTCGACTGTCCTTTAAACTGATCGAGGATATTGGGGTGAAAATGTCAGTGGTTAGTGAAACCATAGCTGAGAAGGGTGAGTCAAGGATTAAATCGTGCGAGGTAACTAGAAAGACGAGCTGAAGGAGGAACAGTTCATTTGACTTCCAACTAGTTTTCGGTTGGTTGATATCCAGTCGGATCCTGAATAAAACAGTGACGTGAGCTCTCCAACTGTCGCAGAACTTGGGAAAGCTGTAAGTAGCTCGAGTAAGAGGAAGGACAACAGACAGTAAGGGTTAGTAACAGAGGTATTTACGAGTGGTGGTCGAGGATTATCAATTGAATAGATTGAATTGCTAACTAATGTATGAATCACATTTGATCCCCTGTGTCTGGTCTTAATAATTGTTTGTCCCAATCTTAAAAAAGGATAAGAAATCCTCATGTGGTAACCCCAGACGGATTAGTGTGGAACTCTAGGTTCAGTGACTTACCACATCTTCACTCTTTTCCAGGTCTTGGAATACAGGCACACTGGCTTAGTAACTGTTTACTTCCCACTGTGGAGCATCACTATTGAAGGCGGAAGGAATGTGAAGACCAGCTATCTGATCACCGTTACCTTCTTGATTTATGCTGTGCGTCGTGGTACCAGCACATCAGTAGCGTAGAAGTCAGAAGTAGATTTTAAGGTAAAGGAAGTGAGTCAGTTGATGGGGTAAATCATAAGTTCAGATTGCTGTTAAGTATGTTACATATGATGAGTCACCGTCTCTATCGTCAAAAGCTGTTGGTTCATGCTGGAGAAAGGTGGAAGGCGGTCAGACTAAAGCATAAAATGAGTTTTCTGATTGTTCTGAAGCTTCTAGGAGAATATGAAGTTTCCGATTTAGATCTGCATGACAACTGAAATTTGTGGTTAAAGACTTAAGGTGATATAGCTCGGAATTGACCTCAGCGGCGTAAATGTGTCAATACATTTTCTTCATCCTAGTTGTTATATCACATTTTAGTTGCTTAAACCCTTCTTTTTCTCTTGTCGTGACTTTTACTACTTCTGATTACCTTTTTCCTTATTCCTCTATCATTCATTTTGGTCGTCTTCTACCTTGGCGTTCTAATGTGAGGTATAGCAACTTTGACCGTTGCACAATAATGTCAGATTCCATGTTAGTTTTGACTAACTGACTCCGCCGACTTCTGCAACACATGCACGCTTACCAAAGCCTGATAATAGTTGCATTTCTCGATATGAAGGAAGCGGCATTTGACTCCGGTAATCGAGAAGTCTTATGGCAATGTCTCTTGTTGAAAGGGGGTATCGAGTAAGTATATCACATTATTGAAGGTTCTCTACTCGAACACTTGTGGGCGTATTAGAGCCTATGGTGAGATGTCCAGGGAGGTATGCTCATCAAGTGGTGTCCGTCAAGGGTGCCCACTCTCCCAATTCTTATTCAGTGTCATGATAGTCATCCATCAGACCTGCAATACGCAGATGACATAGTCGTGTTAGGTGAAGACGCTGACACGATGCAGAGTCTTCTGGACACTTTGAGTGGGAATTTAAGAATGTTTGGGATGCGTTTCTCACCACCCAGATGCAAATTGTTGCTCCAGGATTGGTCTTCAACGGTGCCCCACCGCGGCTAACAATAGGGAGTGTGGTGTTTGAGTGTATTGACCACTTCACTTATCTGGGAAGTGGGATTAGCCCTGGTGACTCAATGGTCAATGAAACCTCTGCACGAATACAAAAGGCTGGACTGGGTTTTGCCAACTTACGCCACCTGTGGCGCCACTGTGATATCCGACTATCTGTCACGTGTACTGCACAACAGTCCGGTCTGTTCTACTGCATGGCTGTGAAACATGGCCATTGAAGGTGGGAGACATGAGAAGGCTTCAGGTGTTTGACCACAGTTACCTTCGTAGTATAGGCCGTATTCCGTGGTGTCACCGTGTGAGTAACGCAGACGTCAGGCATAGAGTTCTAGAGAGAAGAGGTAAGTCAGTTGACGAAGTTATGAACTTTCATCGACTGAGATGGTTGGGACATGTATTACGTAGCCCTAGTTTCCGATTGCCCCATCACACAATGTTGGCTGAAGTATTTCCAGGCTGGAAAGAGGCCCGAGGTAGCCAGACTAAAACATGGCACCAATGTATGAAGTCCTTCGCTGTTGTTTTGAGCCATGTGGGTCGATGCAGACTAGCTGGTTGGGGTGCACGAGACAAGAGGAACCAGTGGTTGGCGATTCTAGGTGATATGGCTCAGAACTGATGTCAGTGGCGCAGATGTGTACACACATTATCCTCATGTTAACGACGCTATACCGAATCTTACCATTTTTTCTTTCAGTACTTTATATTCCTTTTGAGTGAATTTCTTATCTTCATCTTGCACCTCAGTGCCTTTTTACTTGATATAATGATATGAGGTGTGGCAAGTCATACCGTTACGCAGTGATGCCTGGTCCTGTGTTAATATTGATGATGATGCATTTCCTTAAGAAGGATGAAAGCAATGTGGAAGTTCTTAAACTAGTGGTTCAACTGAATGACTACGTGGTGGTTGTTTCATTGTCCTTAAGAAAGCTATCAACAGCAGGATTAATTCGGGAACGTAACTATAGGAATACAGTGGTTTTACAATACAAAAAGGTTGCGTCAGACTCAATAACAGAAACCTTAGAAAGGCTGGTAATTTCACAGTAGCAATGGATTAGATCAAAAATAAATTTAATCAACTTTAAGGTGCGGTTTGAAACTAGAAAAAAACAATATAGTGCATAAAATACCGTGTGGTGACTGCCCAATAAGGTATGTAAGATAAACACCAAAGTCGTTGACAACTCGGCTGAATGAACACCAAAACTAACCAAAGATCAGCCTACGGAGTGACAAAAATTTGGAAAAACGTTCATCGAAAGCAGCTCATGTGTCCATAACATCGATTGGAACAACACTAGCTTACTAAAGTCCAACAAAAACAAATGGAAAGTGGCTGAATGTTTAACGCGTTCGCTGTGAGACCTGAAGGTCTTGAGTTCGGTCCTGAACTGGGTCGTGGGTTCGCACTGCTGAGGAGTCCTATACTAAGACGAAACAGCTGTCCGGTGCTTCTATGTTTCCAATGGTTCTCCAACATGTCTACGGTGAATAACACCTCAAAGTTAAAATCCCCATTCATCTCAAAACAAATAGAAATAAGACTTGATAACAGAATCTACATTTATACATGTCACCCCTAACTTACAACAAAGGTGAATCAATACAACTGTCAACCATGTGGAACTTTTTAGTGAACAGACTAAGGAACAATAAGTAAAGACTACATATATATGACGCCTACTGGTAGATGTGTGAATAAATATTGCTAAAGTATTCCAATTGTTGGTGTGAACACGGGCAGTTATTTTGCTCGAAATATTGCAAAAATAAAAACTTATCATTGTATGTAAACCTTGCATTAAAAATCTGCCTGTAATACGTTAGTCTATTCCATAGTGGACAAACTTTTCATCGATATATCATAACACGTATTATAAGCGAGGTTGTATAATTTCTTTGTGGTATTATTATTATGGCAGGAATTATCTTCATCGGTTAAATTTCTCATATCATCAGATTTAGCATTCGTCTTTGTACAGATTCAGGAATTTTGTTGCTAGTAAAGCTTTTGTGCAATTAAATGTAAATGTAATGACTGTCTCTTATATGGATACTTTTAATAATTAGGCATCTTCATATTTCTGAATTTATCTGGCTTTGAATGATGGAAGAAGATGTACAACGCAAGGTTATCAAACAGCGTTTAAAGCAGTTTTACGGAGGTGATATCAGTACCTCTTCGGTTAATCACAGTGATCCCCTAAATATTGACAGTCCTTCCTTCAATATACATATGTACTTAGACAAAAGTTTCAAAACAAAAGATCTTTCTGATCTGATATCTGAAGAAAAGGCTCTAACAGAACAAATTCGCAGTCTGGATTCTGATATGCAGACATTAGTGTATGATAATTACAGTAAATTCATCAGTGCAACAGATACCATTCGGATGGTAGGTTTTTATTTCACATACGAATATTATTAAGATGAAATCTAATTTCAGTTATGTCCGTACTGAGATGAATTCATTGTTACAGAATATCGACTCTATTGTTTCTCTTTCTGGAGTGATTAATGAAAGCTTAACTGATAAACGGAAGAAATTAAGTACACTGACAGCAACTCAGTTGACATTGAACAAGGTAAGACTTAAATTATAAATGAAAAAAACCAAAGTATTATTCGTAGCTTAACTATTTAGTTGAGTTACCAGTCAGCTTAAGGAAGTATATGAACAAATGTGACTGGCAGCAAACTGTGCGTGATCTCAACAAGGCAAAATACATTTTGAAAAGCTACCATAACACTCCATCTTTTAAAAGTATTCGGGAGGACTGTGCTGAAATAGTAACAGAAATATGCGCAAGACTATGGCGGCAGTTCGATGAGTCTGTAGGTTTTCTGATTTAATTTGTTACTATCCTCCAGAGTAATGCAGTTGAATGTTCCAGTAATTTGAAAGTTCTGCAGCAAATTGGTTTTTCCAGAAGAAAGTTATCAAAAGCTGTGATACGTTTGTGGGTAACAACATATTTGCCTTCAATTGTTAATGCAATGTATCACTTTTACGCTAAAACAATTTTAACTTGTCCCACTGTATTGAAAGACTAATGGTGGAATTCATTCAGTATTGTTGTTTTGCTTCCCTCTTATCTTCTGTTAGGGCTAAGCGTCAGATTTACCAACGTTTAGCTTATATGAAAACTTTGGTACGTGAAGGTGACAAATCGAATGTTCGTAATGAAGATGTTGTTCTTTCTGTGAAAAACAGTGCCGAATTTTCTTTTCAGGATGTGACTTCCGACGAAATGGTAAGCTGATATCATCGTGTAACCTTAGGCATTTTAAATAACTATACCACTTTGTCTCATGGTTTACTCAGTTGTAAAAACGAAGAGAATACCACTAGTAAAATGCACAGTAATTAGTCCTGTATTCGAAGCACACTAAATAAGTGTTTATCTTGTCACATATTTGGTTCAGCATATTCATCTGAAAAGTTGATACATTCCCGTTGGTCGGAGTTACCGCATCTATATGTCCGGTAAAGAAGGACCTTTGTCTTAGGTTTACATCTGTTGGTGCCTAATTGTATCTTGGTTGAGACCTGAGAAATCATCTTCCTCAGTGGTTTAGGACGATATCAGATATATTCTGCAGTCGAAATCGTTGGCAATCGTATGGTTTTCTGTGTCTTGAATCCGTGAAAAGTAGCATAAATGCAGTGAAAGCTCTTTTGAATGTATATCTGCTGACTCTTTCTTTTTTGTTTCGTTCATTTTCATTTAGTAGTGTTGTCAGTGTTTTTGAAATAAGAAAAACAAGCAATAAAGCTGTTGAATATTTCAGGGCAAATTCAAGTAATGTTTTAATCATCGCAATCTATTTGCAGAGCTTTGTAAAATTTTCTTCAGGACAAGCTTACGGCACTACATTTCACTTAGGTAACACCTCTGAGATGTTATGATTTCTAAGCAGGCTACTTCGAAAATGGAGCTAATTTGTTCCAACATGTTTGAACGGTTCGTCATAATTCGAGAGTCGAACCCCACCAGTCACACACAAAAAGCAGTTAGAAGCCTCGTGAATTTTGTCATGTTCTATACGCATTCACAATGGTTGCAATTTTGGTTGGAGTAAGAGTAGCTAAAGTAAATCGCATCCAAATGTTATTCATTTGTGAAGTCCTTGATCCTTAGTTTGCGTTCTGTAGGAAACTGAAGAAATGGTTGAAGTTCGTGAGATGCTAGAAAACGGGAGCCAACGCTGTTCTAAAATTTGATAGCAGTATTGCAGATATAATCACTTTTTATCTTTTGAATCTTGAACATATTGTCAGACTTTATCTTTATGTCCCTTAACCAATCTTCCTTTGTTCAATTTCAACATTATTCTATGTTTATTCTCTCCTTCTGCGCTTTCATGAAGTTCAGTAACTTAAAGATGTCAAGGGGTGAATACATCTGCTCCATGGTGACTGATTTTCAACAATGTCAACTAGAGTACTTAACCACTGATTTATTTCTTCTTGCGTACCCCGACTAGGCAGTCTACGTCACCCCACAAGTCTCAGACCAACAGTCAAAGACTTCATCGACTGGTACCAGGTATTGGTCTGGCCACTCTGAACTTCTTCCAACCCAATCCAACTTCCTCTAACTAGGATAGCAGGTCGAGGTAGGCGTTGATAGGTTGGCATGCGTAGTACATGTCCAAGCCATCTATGTTGACTAAGGTCCGTAACCTCATTGATAGACTTCCATATCTTACCTAGTGCCGTTCGCCTGACCTCAACATTGGTCACACAGTGATTCCACCAAACACGAGCAATGCTGCGAAGACACCATGATCAAAACCATATAACCGCTTTATCTCTTCTACTTTTAACGGCCGTGTCTAACAATCACACAACACGACAGAACGGATTGCAGTACAGTATACTCGTCCACCACTGTGTGCTATCTCTCTCATAGTACAGTGAGCAATTTTTTTTTCTTGGGGGGGGGGAGTTAGCTTATTTTTAAAATATTATATTGCTGGTTGACTGATGCTAGTTTTCTAAAAAATCTATCTCACAGGATATACTATATTTTGCCAACCTGGTAACTGATTCTGTTTTGATTGAGCTTTCCGCATTCATTGGAATACTGGCTGATGTCTATTTCACAAAGTCAGATGAAAGTGAGCCTATGGATACCATCTTGTAAGTATAGTTTTATTATGGTTATGATAGCCTAGCCTAATATTAGTAACAGTTTCGATAGCATATTTTTGGAGCGAATCAGCATTTATTTGTGTCACTAGGAAACAGATGATGAAAAGGGATAATTTAGTCCATACTTCACATTTTACTGCATTGGCCTGGAAGTCGCGTTGAAAAAGTCCCCAAAGTGACATATGACGCTTTGCCCGTGAAAGCGTGGAAAGCAGCCATGGTTGCAGATATGCAGTATGTCCATCAAGTAAAATCGTGCATCACTGGGTGCAGTGTGTTTATCGTTGAACATTTGAAAAGGATTGAATTGGATTGTCAAAGTTTTTGTTTTTGGGTTCCAGGTTTGAAACCTAGTCTAGTTAGTAACACGTCCTTATTTGTCAGATGTGACACCGCTTAGTTCTTCTAGCGTAACTTGGAAGATTGAGTTATTCAGTCAGCTGAAACAAGTGTCATGTATATGATCGCAATAAGATCTTTTATTTAAGGTATGTTTGAACGTTTGTTTCTGTGGTGTTGAGAAATTAGCAATAACTTTGATTCCGATTTCTAGTTACTTCATTTTAATCATAAGATATTTCGTTTCAATTTCATAGAGATATAATCTCGAGTAAAATGGAAAACAACTCGGAAATCGATGTTGATTGCCTTGAGGAACAATTGGCAAATGTTGTCAGAGAATTGATGCATGAATTTTTTATTTTGGTTCGAAGTCGCTTCGAACTGGAGGTGAGTAATGTCTAGGCGATTCGAAACTTTGGTCACCTCCTTGTGTCATGCTCCACATAGGAAATGCGGCCTTATTTTAATTATTTCCCAGAAGACTTCCTATCTTTAGTTTCTTAATCTTCAGCATCTCAAAGCAGGAAGCTTATTCGAATGTTCTATCTTTGTTTCAGATTTTTATTAGATGAATTTGAATAAAGCAGCAAGAACGGTAGTAGAAGAATTAGCGTGCATAAAATTCGTGGATTCTTCTCAGCTGCTTTACAACCTATAGAATATAATCCTTATGATGAATAATATGTTATACAACGTACTTAAATAAATTGACGAGATTTTTACGAATTGAGATGGAAGGTGACAAAGATTTAGGTTGAGTGATATTGACGAAGTTGTTAAGATTAGTCAAAGTTTAACTATTCATACAGTGATAGAATGAACATTCGAGAGAAGATTATTATTATTATTATTATTATTAGTCCCTTGGGTTCCTAGTGGAACATAGGGCTTCAGTAGCACGTCTCCAGTGACCTCTGTTCTCTGAGATCTTTTGAACCTGGTCCCACGACAGCCCACAACCTCTCATTTCCTGCTCGCACGACCTCCTCCATGTCACCCTCGGACGTCCAACTCGTCGCTTCCCATGGGGATTCCACTCGAGGGCCTGACGCGTGATGTCCTCAGTCGACCTTCTCAGTGCATGGCCAATCCATCTCCACTTCTTCCTGCATATTTGTTGCGTGATAGGTTCTTGGTTGATTCGTTCCCAGAGTTCCTTGTTGCTTATTCTTTCTGGCCATCTGATCTTCAGTTCGAGAGAAGATAGGGAAAAAAAATCCATGCATACATACATACATATAAATGGGAGGCGGTTGTGCACAACGTTATTCTAGAATTAGTGAAAAGGATGTCATGACTAAGTAAACGTAGCAAAAGATCAACATGCTTTCATTATATTGAGAAATTAGGTGAGTGGAGTGGGCTTACCGTAGATTTAAACAGCTTTCACCCAATCGGTTACAAAAATGTCTGGTACGGATACTCTTCAACCATACGCGTAAACTGTGCTGTGAAAAAAATAATGAGGAAGAACTGACCTTTGTCGAAAACTCAACGCGAAAATCGTTACCCACCAAAGTTCATTAACAAGTGTGGTAAGATAGAAGAGGCGAGAACTAAGTGCAATGCAGTCGACAAGAAGCCTATCTATACCTTGCCTTCAAAAAAATGAAATCGCCACAAGCATGAATCATGAGCTGAAAACTGCAGCAGAAACCACCTATCTAATCGCCAAGTTATTTATTATTATTTGTCCCTTAGGTTCCTAGTGGAACATACGGCTTCAGTAGCACGTCTACATTCCACTCCGTTCTATGCAATCTTTTGAACCTCGCTCCACGACAGCCCACAAGCTCTCATGTCCTCCTCGCACGATCTCCTTCATGTCACCCACAGCTGGGACGCCCAACTCGTCGCTTCCCATTGGGCTTCCACTCGAGGGCCCGGCCTGGCGCGTGATATCCCCAGTCGGCCTCCTCAGTCTATGCCCAATCCATCTCCACTTCCTTCCAGTGCACATATGTTGGGCGATAGCTTCTTGCTTCGTTGGTTCGTTACCCAGCCACAGTTCCTTGTTGCTTATTCCTATTATTCTGGCCATCTGATCTTCAGTAACGAGCCTCTCGTAGGTGGCAGTTGTTGATGAATGTCTGTAGTTTGTTGGAAATGCCTTTTGTAACGCGTCAAGTCTCTGAACCATCACACAGAAGCACTGACTTGACGTTGGTGTTGAAAATCCGGATGTTGTTCCACATGCTGAGTGCGGAAGATCTCCACACTGGTTCAGGCTAATGAACGCCTGTCTTGCTGTCTTTCCGATCCTGACTGGTTTTGACGTCCTCGTGTGTGCCTGTGCTGCCTGTAGTTGAAACAGTGCTGCCTAGATAGATGAAAAAGACTACTTACTTTAAGTTTCTCCCGTTGATGGTGATTGAAGTTTGTTGTTGTTGTTGGTGGTGGTGGTGGTGGTGGCGTTGGTTGGGTATCTTGATCATCTGTGTCTTCTTTACATTCACTTGAAGTCCTGTCTTCGCTGCCCTGCCCTGCCCTGCCCCTTCTGTCAACTTGTTAGTTTTCGCCTGTAGATCTTCAAGTTTGTGTGACATCAGACATAAGTCATCGGCGAAATCTAAATCTTCTAGGTTCTTTTCCCCGGTCAAACAACGTATCCCCCTGTTCTCGCTCCTCACTGTTTGTTGCATGATCCAGTCGACTACAATCAGGAATATCGTGGATGATAGTAGACAGCTTTGTTTTACTCCTGTCTTCACTTCAAAAGCATCACTGAGCTTCCCATTGTGAATTACTTGGCATGTGGCGTCGTCATATAGTTGTTGAATGAGATTGATAAATGTTTGTGGTATTCCGTAGTGTTGAAGCAACTGACAAATTATTTCTTGATCGACGCTGTCAAAAGCTTTTTCAAAGTCGATGAAGTTGAGGTAGAGGGTTGACTGCCATTCTATACTCTGTTCTATAATGATGCGAAGCGTTGCAATTTGGTCTGCACATGATTTGTACTTCCTGAATCCAGCCAGCCTGTTCCGGTCGTAGTTTTGAATCCAGTGAATCCTTTAGTCTCTCCAGGATGATGCGGCTTAATATTTTGGTTGAGGTGGACCGGGACAGGACAGTGATTCCGCGCCACTTCTTGCAAAGGCTTAGATCACCTTTCTTCGGTAGTTTGACAAGGTAACCCTTCTTCCGATCACTAGCCAGGTACCTTCTCTTCCTTCCACACCTTCTGCAATAGTGGTGTGGTGTGAGCATGTCCGCTGTTGTCTCTGTGTGTGTTTTCAGTGCTTCTGGCGGGATTCCATCTGGTCCTACTGCTTTCCCACATTTCAGTAGCTTTATGGTGTTCAGGACTTCCACTTTTGTCTGAGGACTTGTGTTCACTGGTAGTTCTGTGGCTGGGCTGCAGGTGGTATTTCTGGATGAAGTGCAGGTGGTGGTGGTGGTCGATTCAAGAGCTTCTTGAAGTGGTCGGCCCATTTTCCCTTTTGTTTCTCTTGTTTCGTAATTAAATTTCCGTCATCATCTTTCATGGGTTTCCTCTTCGTTGATCTCTTCCCAGATAGCAACCTGGTTATTTGATACAATGTTGTCAGGTCTTTGTCTCTCATACCTGTAGCTTGTTCTGCTTCACTTGCCAGTGTTTCGTAGAAGTGTCTTTTGTCTTTGCGTGCACTCTTCTTCACTTCTTTGTCCAGTGTTTTATACATTGTGCTCAGTTCCTCTTGTCGTTGAGCGTCCTTGCACTGGTTTATCTTCTGTTTCACCATCCTCCTCTCCCTGCTCTATCAGCTTCCAGGTATCCGTCGAGATCCGTTCCTTGTCTTCCACCTTCTTCCTTCCTAATACGGCTGTGCAGGTTTCTTCCACATAGTTTTCAAAGACTTCCAGTGTTCTTCTACACAGGTTTCTTCAGGGGCGTTTCCTCGATATCTCCCATTTTGTCTTGATGGCTGACGTGAAGATGTCCCTGGTAGTTTCGTCCTTCAGTTTCTTTTCTGGGTGTTGAACCTGAACTGTGGTCTATCACCAACTTCCTTGAAGGCTTTCAGCTTGATTTTGAAGGTCCTTTGCAGTAGATAATGAGTGGTGTGAGCCTACATCTGCTCCTCTTCGTGACCTTGTGTTAAGTAGACTGCGTCTCTATTTTCTTGAGATTGAGATAAAGTCGATCTGATTTTTAGTGTAGTGTGTCCTGGTGTCTGGTGAAATCCATCTTGCATTGTGGATATCCTTGTGCTTGAACATAGTGCCTGACTGCAATCACCAAATCGCTGAATGCACAGAATTCTGCAAACATTTCTCCATTCTCGTTCATCACCTCACCGAGCGCTTCTCGACCCATGTTTAGTTCCCTTCCTGTGTTTTCCGCTCCCAGTTTGGCATTCGTGTCACCCTGCCCATTAGGATTTTGAAGTCGCCAACTGGGGTATGGTCTTGTCCAGTGTTTATTGAAATTGTCTGTAGAATTCCTCCTTTTTCTCTTGCTCTGCTTTATTTGTAGGTGAGTAGCGTAGCATTGTGTGATTGTGACCTTCCTTCCTTTTGAGTTGAATCTTGCTGTCATGATCCTTCAGGAGATTGGTTCCCACTGCATGAGAGACAACCTTCGATGCTGTTGGGGACATCATGATAGCCACTCGAAAACTCAGTGTGCTCGTAGTTGTCGCCTGGGTGATAATATCGGAGTAGATTATTGATTCTCCAGTTGACAGTTTGGAGAGTCCACTCCCATTCCATCTGCTTTCGCAAATTCCTAACACATCAATGTGATACCTTCTCATCTCCCTTGCAATCTGGGCAGCCTTGCTAGGTTCCCACATGGTGCGGACATTCCATGTCCCCATGTTTACTTTCGCTTTCATCGAGAGAGGTGAGGACACATCGGCCAGTTGGCTTCCCGAAGGGTTTCACCAACTGGCGTCATTTCGCCTCTCGGATTCCAGAGAGGAATAATTTTGCTTTTATTTTTAACATTTTGTTTGTGCTTTGAAGTTTGTTTAGCGGTTAGATTTGTTTTACGGGGTAGGGTTGCTAGCCCTATGCCCAACTTTCCCTCTTTACCCGGAGTTAGGACCGGCTAGTAACTAGTGAACTAGTTAACCAGGAGAGGTTAACCGCCAGGTTAGTCTATGTATATGAAACGAAATGCTCATTGAGTCAGTCGAAGTCGACAGATTCTCAATTCTTGTTATCTCCGACTATGTCTACCAATTCATATGTGCATGCCAAAGCATATAAAATGGAAGAACGGAGAGAAGGGTTCGCGTCCTTGTTTCTGAACGTATCCCAGAGAATTTGAGTGTTAACGGTCTTCAGGGTTTAAATAGTGCGATCATCGGGCATTTGATACTAGACATAAAGTCAACATATTAAGCTTATTCAAAGTCAACAGTAAACAGTGGAAACCCACTCTTGTGGTTCGTTGAAGCAATTGTGATTAAGAGATGCAAATTTGATCGATGTATTCAGAAAGATACTGTTGTCAACCTTACATTACCATGGTAATTTTAATCTCCTAAACTTGTAAGTATAAGACCTCATGACCTTAAGTTTCTTTGGGGCTTTGTTTTTCGATCTATTTGGAGACCTAGTCAACTTATTTCCCAATATAATGAAAGCATGTTGATCTTTTGCTACGTTTACTTAGTCATGACATCCTTTTCACTAATTCTAGAATAACGTTGTGCACAACCGCCTCCCATTTATATGTATGTATGTATGCATGGATTTTTTTTCCCTATCTTCTCTCGAACTGAAGATCAGATGGCCAGAAAGAATAAGCAACAAGGAACTCTGGGAACGAATCAACCAAGAACCTATCACGCAACAAATATGCAGGAAGAAGTGGAGATGGATTGGCCATGCACTGAGAAGGCCGACTGAGGACATCACGCGTCAGGCCCTCGAGTGGAATCCCCATGGGAAGCGACGAGTTGGACGTCCAAGGGTGACATGGAGGAGGTCGTGCGAGGAGGAAATGAGAGGTTGTGGGCTGTCGTGGGACCAGGTTCAAAAGATCTCAGAGAACAGAGGTCACTGGAGACGTGCTACTGAAGCCCTATGTTCCACTAGGAACCCAAGGGACTAATAATAATAATAATAATAATCTTCTCTCGAATGTTCATTCTATCACTGTATGAATAGTTAAACTTTGACTAATCTTAACAACTTCGTCAATATCACTCAACCTAAATCTTTGTTACCTTCCATCTCAATTCGTAAAAATCTCGTCAATTTATTTAAGTACGTTGTATAACATATTATTCATCATAAGGATTATATTCTATAGGTTGTAAAGCAGCTGAGAAGAATCCACGAATTTTATGCACGCTAATTCTGCTACTACTATTCTTCTTGGCTGATCCAAATTCGTGAAACAGAAGAGTCGTATGAAGTTCTTGTCAGATGAATTCATACTGATCTGAACCCAGGCTGAATGGATTTCAGTGGTGCAGATGTATCCACACATCCTCATCCTACTCGTCATACTGAATTCTGTATTTCCTTCCCCATCCTTGTTGTCTATCACAAGTTTGGACAACTCTGACTACTTTTTTCTCTATTTCTTTATCTCTCATTTTAGTACTTTATTGTTTCACGTACTGATATGAGATATGGCAGCCTGGATCGTTACTCAGTAGTGCCAGGTTCAATGTCGATGATTTGTTGGGGCGTGCCTGGTTTTTATAGGTTTGCTTTTCCCGAGATGGACTCAGAAGTCTGGTGATTATGGAAACTAGGATGTTAGACACAACGTTTGCGAGGGTAACTCACATTAGGACATCTTTCCTTTCTTGAGGATTGAAACAATAGGTAGTTGAGACCAGTTAGAAAGGATCTCATTTGATTATGATGTGCTGGCCAACACTTCGGTTAACCTGACGCAGAATCCACCGCCACCGTCTTTAAATATCTCCGGTAATAGGTCCTAGTGCTCCTCTTCGTTTGAGATTACTTACAGCTTTCTCGACTTCTGCAAGAGTTAGGGTCCCGATCTCAATAATTCCGTTCAGGATCTAACCTTACATCAGGCATCAGAATAGTAGTTGGAGGCTGTTTTAACTTTTCGTGAAAGTGTTTTGACCATGGTTTGAGTCAACCTTGCGACTTACAAGTGAATCGCATACCCATCTTTGTACTCTGTAGTTTCACTAACCACCAACCTCGCCCCAGTTTCTCTAAGACTTAATAAGTTGTCTTCAGTTGCCTATCGAAGTTTCATTTCCCCAGCCATCGTTGCTCACCTTTGTTCGTAGCCATTGGGTAGACATCTTGTCAGTGTACATTTGAGTAGCTACCACACCTCACTGTGTTGTGAGACCTCAAGGATGTGTTCGTGTGCACTCATTAATTCAGAAGAAGCTGTTGAGATTCAATGACCCTTTTTAAACACTCTAATGATATTTTTGCAGCAGACTGGAGGCGACACCAGTCTTCGTTTGAATGACGAATATTGTTCTGTACTGACAACTGTCTAGCCAGTGTCTCTTTGAAAGCAGCCATAGTGCTCTCATTGCCGAGCAGCGCTTGCAGTGGTCTTATTCCCAGAGTTTTCCTACGTCTATTTGGATGCAGACAGACACGTACTCGAAACAACGAGTGGTGGGTGTCAAAACACGTACTCCAAAAGGACAGACAATCTTCCATTGAACCTCCCTAGCAGTGAATGATAGCAGAATAGTGCGTGTGCCAACCGCTGAGTTGAGGTTAGTAGTCGCCACGTCAGACGGTGTCTCTATTTATTATAAATATATTTGTACTTTGTGATGATTGAAGGTGAAATGAAAATTTGTACCACGGTAGAATTCGAACCAACGACCACCACGTTTTCGGCCCGACACTCTACCAACTGAGATACGAGGTCCAAAAATTCAAACCGTGGCCAGACCTCGCGTTTCACAAGCACAGTACACTTTCATGGCTTGAGATACCAGAGTTTTGGCTAGTGAAGTATGTTGACCGATTTGTTGGAGGGTCTGGAGACTGGAAGCTTCAATATGCAATTCGGAGCGTGGTTTCAAGAGACCAGTGATGCTGTTACATGAACTCGAATCATTGTCAATAGCTTCAGAGCTGAAAGAAGTTATAAATGATGTAGGATAATTGACCGAGAGACGCATAGAAAGATGAGAAGTTAAGGATGTGGACAGCTTGTAATGATCTGAGGTAACTCGAGTGCTGACAGAGTTAGTAGGGTGTTTGACACTTCCCGGTTGCCCACACCGTGGAAGGTTGATCCTTCTTGAGAGACGCCTGGGAAGGAATGGTTAGTACGTGATGGCAGAGCTCAAGTGACATGTGCTTGAGGTCGGTGACACACAACCGTTTTAGAAGTTGAGATTTTATTTGGTTTGTTTTCCTAGAATCCGACTATGAACGTATATGGTTGGCACTGGTCTGCCACGTGGTAAAGAGGAGTGTGGAATGTTTAGGTTTGACTTTTGATAACTCCTTCTTTGGATAGGGAGTGCAGTATCAACGTGGTACTGCTGATAATCCACGAAAAACACCTTACTGCCACCACACACCCCCATCCAGTCAGGAGTACGATTTCTCCCTAAGACGTACCTTATGGCGTAGCAAAACAAACGACGAAGGAAAAGGCAGCGTAATGATTAACAGTGTAATGGTAACTGCTAATTGTGCAACCACTATGCAGCAGACCCTGCTGGGATGCTAGGATCTTGAAAGAATAAGTGTTCCACCGGGACAGCCCGTCGGGTCATTATGACATGCAAGGTAGCAGCTATAAATTGGTCTCACCTTATTTGACTATATGTCAGCGTGAACCTTGATGGGATGCATGCAGCTTTTGGTCATTAGTATATGCCGTTAATTTTCAACCAAGTTGGTCAATGTTTCGTATGCCGCCTTATCTAACGGATTTGGGAAGCCTGAAAGCGTCGTTAACCCTCATACAATATGTGTGGCTGGCTGACTTTATTTCAAATGACTGCTATCCGTCTAATCTCCTCGAAATTGTGAAGGCTGTTTGTAACCTTAAACGACGCAAATAAGAAACCTGACAGTTTTCCACTAAACGTTTTTCAAAATGTAAGTAAGGACTTGGGGTATCTACTGTGTTGGATTCAGAGGTAATTTCGTCAGACTGGGCGACATCACTAGTCCTTGGAATTTGTGATCAAGGTGAGAATTCTGAGTTTGGTAGCCGCAGTCTAACTAACATTGTGTTTGAGATCACTGTGTCCCTAATTATCCAATGCCATCATGAAGTTCAGTAACAACAAATTCGAGTTTCAAACTGGACGAAAGCGTCTGGATCAAATTTTCACCCATTGACAGGTTCAGGAACATAATTACCCTCACCAGCGTCCGAGCACCGTTATATTTCTTATCCTGATGGTAGTATTCTACTGTGTCAACGGAGAGGCGTTATTTCGGTGTCTGACTGTGCGTGAGGTAGAGAGCAAGTATATTGTTCTCATTGAGTCCCTCTCCTCGAACTAATAGCTATGTAAGGGCTTATTGAAAGTTATTATAAGAGTAAAACTTGAGCTCTGTTGTAGAATGAAACTTACGGATAGTTGGCATCTGAAGTAACGACAGCCAATTGTATCTACCAAAGATTTACACTGTTATCACGGCCGCCTTTCACTGTTTCTAGCACAAACAAGACAACTGACAATCCATCAAAGCATGAATGTACTATACAGTGGTCCACTCTGTTTTGTTATATGGCTTTGGGATATGGTTCAGAGCAAATGATGTGAAACTGTTACAGGTTTGTTTTAGGTATCAACGTAGCATTACTTGCGTATAGTGAGATCATAATGTGAGCAGTGGTATGGTTAGTTGTAGGGTACTAAGCAAAGATGGCAAGTTCGCCGATGAGGTTGTGACCTTCACCAACTGAGGTGGCCTAAACATGCGTTGTACATTTTAAGCGTCAGTACACCTCAGCGTGTATTATCAGCTAAAGTAGCGTTGGGTTTATAAGTGAAGAGGCCTAAACCAAGACGTGACACCAGTTTATTAAGTCTCCGACTGTTGGCACAAGCCGTGTAGAATGGTATAAACTGCCTGACCTACATAGTTGAGATTTGTAGCTTAGGATAATAACGATAGTTGTTTGTTGTTCTCTGAGCTTTGGGGCTTATTCTTTATCAGCACTTACTTTACACTTAGAGTCTCTCAGAGCGGTGATGAAACATTCAAGAAGAAACCTCTGAGTTCTGAGAACATCAAACAGTTATCATATTGTATTTAATTTGAACTCAGTAGAGATCGGATGTCTACAAATCTTTTCTCATATTCTAGTTAATCAAGACATTTGGAGACATCTTTGCCATTATACTTTTGTTCGTACACAGATTGCTTCTTAATATCTTCAAGTTTTGTAAGAAACTCACATTTCAGTTCGTTTTGAATGTTTGTTTTTCTTCCTCTGTATTTTCTCATTTTCATTTTAGAGCACAAACACAGATATAAACCTGATGGTAAGAGCTTTGGATCGTATCCACAGTCGAGTACAAGCATTTAATCGATCATTGTTAACATCAGTTACTTCTGTAGATGTAGATGCTGGAGAAATGGAGGAGACAAACTCTGAATCGTCTCTATCCATAATAAGCCGTTTCTCTTCACTTACTAATCAATTTTCAAGTTCTGCACTGGAGATAATTAATCACGTTGCTCGAGCACAAACTACTTATTACTTTGATGTATTATGTCAAAATGCTGTGGAATCATTCACAGATCTTCGACATAAACTCGCTAGTCATGGGCTACAAACGTTGACATCTAATATGATGAGTGAAGAAGTTAATAAAACGTAAGCTACAAGCCAAATTTGCTATTCGTACCAAAGTACATTAATCGAACCTTTTTAAAAATTATCTTAGGAACACTTTAATTTTTGTAACCATGTGATGTCTTTCACTTTGTTTTCTTTTATAGGAATAAAATGGAGAATGACAGTCATCAACTTGCTTCACTTTTTGACACTCTTGGCGCATCTCTTGTTTCACAGTTGCGTAATGTACTGAAAGCTGAGAAGGTTAGTTCATTTGATTCCTTAGGTGTTTTATTGAGTGTTAATAACCATTGCTTAATTTTATTATCTCTTACTTATGGGATGATATTCGATATCGAGAAGACCTCAATTCTGGTCAAGTTCAAACATGGAGGGCTTGTGTTGCTAGTTATCTTGGAAGACCATATGTTGATTTCACTTATTTTTAATTATTAAATTATTATGGTTTCCCTTATGGCCTGCTAGTTTTGTCTACTTGTTCTTTGTCATTTTTTTTAATCTGTTCAAATCTAAGGTTATTTCATTAGTGAACTAGAGACTTCGTTTAATGTATCGGGTCAAATTCGGTTGCTCATTTCCAAGCAAATGTAGCAACTTCACCTATGGATTAGATTACTGATCTGTACCTCGCAATAAACAACACTATCGGATAAAAATACCTTCCGACATACCTTCTAAAATATATAAACACTATTTAGATTTGGAAAGTATGTATCCCTTTTTCAAAACTGTTTACTTATTTATGCACGCATTTGTTTTTCATTACGTTTTTGGTATTCGAATTCATTTCCTAATTATTTTAAAAGATAGTGTTATACTTTGGTGGGATTTATTCACATGGGAACTGTTTATATATGTTTTATAACTATAAAGCGTATACAGTACTACTTGTCACGAATTATTTCTACACAACCAAGGATTTTCCTCATTTCATACCTCTAAAATATTTTAGGCTACCTTTTGGGTATTAGTTAAACTAATTAATTTCTGTAGTTCACTTTACTCAGTGACGTAGATCGGCCTATCTTGGGGAATTTATGCCTTTTTAGGATGCTTCGATATTGGTCATTGTGACGCGATAACTTGATACATGAAGATCTAGTGTTTGAAGTGATGTTCCCAGTATCAGTGGAAATATTAACACTGGTGGGACGGATTTACGATAAATCCGTCGAGCCTTGCTTACGAGGGAATTTCCATCTTTTAATCCTTTACCTGTCATCGGGAATCATAAGATCTGAATGAAATCACTGGAAAATGTCTTCAGAAATATATCTGGTTATCACGATCAGAATTAAAGGTCTAAAGAGTAGTAGAATGCACAAAACAATTTCAATAACCACTATTTTAGTTCAGATGTTGTGTAATGAATGGTATGATAAACGTGTTCAGTACTATGACTTGGTGACTTAAGAACTTGTTTCAACCTCTGGGTAATGAGTTTATTATTCTTATTCTTTCTTCCATGGTTCACGTATGAATCATCGAAGGCTCTCACGCAGTGGGAACCAATCTCCTCCAGGATCATAACAGCAAAATTCAACTAAAAAGGAAGAAAAGTCACAATCATACAGTGCTACGCTGCGCACCTACAAATAATGCAGATCAAGAGAAGGGGGAGGAATTCTACAGACAACTGCAATCAGTACTGGACAAGACTCCAGTTGGCGACATCAAAATTCTAATGGGTGACATGGATGCCAAACTGGGAGTGGACAACACAGGAAGAGAACTAACCAGGGGTCGAGAAGCACTCGGTGAAATGAATGAGAATGGAGAATTGTTTGCAGAATTCTGTGTATTCAATGATTTGGTGATTGAAGTCAGGCAGTGTGTACAAACACAAGGATATTCACAAGGAAGCGACATGGACTTCACCAGATGGACACACTAGAAATCCGACCAACTTCATCTCTATGTGAAGAAAGTGGCGACGCAGCCTACTGGACAAAAGATCAGATCAAGAAGAGGAGCAGATGTGGGTTCAGACCACACCCCATCAAGTTGAAATCGTTCAAGGAAGTTGGTGATAGGCCACAGTTCAGTTTGAACACCCACAACAGAAACTGAACTGAAGGACGAAACTACAAAGACATCTTCACATCAGCAAGTCATCACGAAAACACTGGAGATATTGAACAACTTCCCTGAAGTAACCTGAGTAGAAGAACACTGGAACTCTTTGAAAGAGATGTGAAAAGTAACCTGCATAGCCGTATTAGGAAGGAAGGGATGAAGAGGCGAGACAAGGAATGGATCTTCACGGACACTTGGATGCTGATAGAGGAGGGAGAGGAAGATGGTGACGCAGAATATGAACCAGTGCAGTGCAGTTCAGGGATGAACAACGAAAAGAGAAACTGAACACAGCCTATAAAACACTACACTGGACAAAGAAGTGAAGAGTGTGCGTAACGATAAAAGACACTTCTTCGACACACTGGCAAGTGAAGCAGAACAGGCTGTAGGCAGGAGAGACAGAGACCTGACAACACTACATCAAATAACCAGGTTACTATCTGGTAGGGAAGAGATCATCGCAGATGAAACTAATGAAATATAGTGAAAGAAAACTTAGCAAAGAGGAGAAACGGTGAACTGACCACTTCAAAAGGCTCTTGAATCAACCAACACCACTGCTACCACCTACAACTCGTCCAGAACTGCCAGTGAACAAAAGCCTTCCGACAAAAGCAGTTGCGAAGTACTCAACGCCATAAAGTTGCTGAAATCCAGGAAAGCATTAGGACTAGATGAAATTCCTCCAGAAGCACTGAAAACGGACGTGGAGACACCAGCGGACATGCCCACATCACTATTGCAGAAGGTTTACAAGGAAGGAAGGAAGGAAGGGGAAGGTACCTGCTGAGTGGAAGAAGAGATACGTTGTCAAACTTCCAAATAAGAGCGACCTAAGTCTTTGCAAGAAGTGGCACAGAATCATGCTCCTGTCCCTGTCTACCCCAAGCAAAATATGATACCGCATCATCCTGAAGAGACTAAAAATTCCTCTGGATTTAAAATTATGACTGGAACAGTCTGGCTGGCTGGCTTCAGGGAGAATAAGTTATGTGCGGATCAAATTGCTACGCCACACTACACGTCATCATAGAACAGAGCATAGAATGGCAGTCAGCTCAATTCAACCTCAACTTCATCGGTTTTGTAAAAGGCCTTCGCAGCGTCGACCGAGAAGTAATCTGGCAACTGCTTCAACACAACGGTTTTAGTGCCACAAACGTGTATCAATCTCATTCAACAGCTATATGGTACATGATGTTGCGTGCCAAGCAATTCATAATGGAAGGCTCAATGATGCGTTTGAAGTGAAGACAGGAGTAAGACAAGGTTTCCGCCTACCATCACCGATAATCTTCCTGATAGTAGGGGATTAGATCATTGAAGAAACTGTGAGAAGTGAGGGGATGGGGATACGCTGGCTGAACCGATGAAAAGACCCCAGAAGTCAGTGCTTCTATGTGATGCGTCAGGAAAACATTTCCAACAAACTACAGACATACATCACATCAACAGCCGCCGCCTACACTCACTCAATACTGAAGATGGAGATCAGATGGCCCGAATAATAAGAATAAGCCTTAAGGAACTCTGGCTGGCTGTCAACGAACCGACTAAGAGTCTATCACCCAACAAATATACAGAAGAAAGTATAGATGGATTGGATTGGACATACAGTGAAAAGACCGATTGGGGACATCACGCGTCGGAGAAGGCCCTTGAGTGGAACTCGCATGGGAGACGATGAGTTGGGGGTTCGAGCTGAGGATGATATGGAGGAGATGGTGTGAGGGGAAAATGAAAGCTTGTGGACAGCTGTGGAGCCGGGTTAGAATGACTGCAGAAAACAGAGTGAAATGGCAGCTTGCAAGTGAAGCCTTATGTTCCACTAGGAACCCAAGGGACAAGTCATAATAATATTAATATTGGTAATAATAATATTAATAATAGTAATAATAACAAGTGATTCACATAAATATAGGTTTTTTTTAACCTCATCACGCGTATGCCAGCCATACTTTACGTTCACGTACGCGTACTTTAAGTTTCAAGTTTTGCAGATATTTCTTAAATGGTTTGTTTTTAAAATGCGTAGAGACTCACTAAATTTCAGTCACAGAAATAAGATTCTCGCTCATGCTTAGCGATGTGACTCATTGGTTTAGGCAGTTGATTTTCAACCAATGGGTCACATGTTTGAACACCGGTCCATCTACCTGGATCTGGGAAGCCAGGTAGTATCATTAATCCTCATACGTTAGGTGCAGCTCATTGCCTACTGCACGAATATACATTTGTTTGCTCAGTGAGTTTCGCTTTTGGTTGTGCTTATTCAATATTTTCATTGTATGTGGATCTGGATGCTAGTCTGACAATAATCACCTCTGAAATCAAAGGTTTGGTTTTATTTAGGTGCCAGCTGTATTTTATGCAATTATTTACTCTGTTGATCAATCATGTTATAATCTAGTGGTCGATAGTTCGTCCACAACTCAGGCCTTTGTTGTATTATTCGATTAGAACTGCTAATATTCGACGTCATTTATATGGACACATTCAAATGACTACCAGTTTTAGTCACTAATCATAATGATGAATCACTATGGCTGTAATTTACTTTTTAGTTTTCTCCATTCACTCTATTTGATGTGCACTTTATATGACGAATTGGGAATGATCAGACATTCTACACACTTGTAATGTCCTAATTGCAATGAATTTCTTATAATATATTTTCGTTTTAACACTTGTTTATCATATGCATACCTCTGTATGCATGTGGCTAACTCACTTATCTAAAATGTATTTTTTTACCCCTCTATTTGCAGACATTTTTGAATACTGAGAGCACATTCTCCAATAAACCACAGTTTCGTAATTCTTTTTGCATCGATCAAATTAGGGAGGGACTTATAGTTGGATATCTAAATTTTCTTGTTCACTTTCTTAGTGATCTTGCAAAGGTAAGTTCATTTGGACACTTAGCTGTAATATTTTATAGGAAGATTAACAGTTCATTTTGAGAAAAATCAAACTTGAGTAAATTTGTGGGTGTCATGTAAACCCGCATTTGCTTCACTCTCGTGCTTCCGTTATAGAAGTCGAAAATTGTTCCGCAATCCATTCGGGATTCAGATTTTGAGCGCATCTCGATTTTCTGTGGCCAACAGCATAATAGATGAGATTATGTAGGAGTGCAAACAGTTTAAGATTCAATTGATGTCGGCTGGCTACAGGCAATCAGCTGGAAACCCTGTACTTCGGCTTCGTGCTTGTTGGTACTTACTTGTACGCAAGGTGTATATGCAACCTCAAGGGAATTAATGTCGCTTCAGAGATTCGGATACGCGACATCCAGTGTCACAGTCATGTGAATAAATAAATAATTCTTATCTTAAACTACACCAGTTCTACTAAGTGTAACAATACTATTATAACCTCTATGGAGTGGGTTGTTGTTTAATAACCAATATCAGGCGGCTTATAAAAGCTGTATTTACTGTATTAGGGAAATTGTTTTAATATTTGAAGTGAGATAGTTCAGTGTGCATTTTTTCCAACAGTATTTCTATAGGCGTTGACAGAAGAATCCAGAATGTATATTTTATTTTTTCTTAGATTTCGTCTAGTGGATATGTTTAGATTTCAGTGTATGTTTATGCTTCCATGGAAACTTGAGCCTATACTCTAATTCATGGGACATTTCAGCATCATCCACCACATCGCATGGTTAATGAATCCAGGATTTCATTGCTAGTTAGGACGCTGAAAATGTCCGTACCATAGAATCTGGAGTCAGGCCCTCAAATGCCCTTGTATGTGTTCATAGCCCCACACAAGCTACTCAAGTCGTACCTAATCAGTTGTCAATTAGTGGCCGTTAGTATGGTATATACTTTGGACCATCGAAGTGCAATTTTGCAAAGTTGCAAGAAGCCTGTCCCTGTGCTCACCCTCAGTGGTGAGCTGTTGAAGTAGTCGAAACGTTCATGTATCTGGTTAGTTGTGTGATTGCTTTTGGAGGTATTTTAAAAAATATATTTTGGTATAATCCCAGTGTATTTAGAAAATCAAAACGAGATATCTCGTTTAGATTTCCTAAACACGCTGGGATTATACTAAAATATATTTTTATAGTGATCCAATCAGACTCGGCGCTCAACGTCTTCCAGGACATTTGTAACAACTATCGTCTGGATGTTTATAATTTTGGAGGTGTTGTGAAGTTTTTAACCATACATCGAAAGCCAGGGTGGCATACGTCAATCTGGGCCACATTTTGGCTCCGTTGCGACGTTAGTGTGACCATGAAAGGTCAGGCTTACTACACTTCAGTGCTAGTTCTTCTCTACTCCTGCGAAACCTGGTCTCTCTGAGCTGAGGATGTGCAACGACTGTGTTTGTTCATCGTTGTCTCCGTAGGTTTGTTTGTATGCATATAAGTAGTTCTAAGATACGACAGTGTGTATCTGGACATAATGGAGATCTTCATTCAGCAGGTGAAGTCATTTGGAAACACCAGCTACGGTGACTTGAACATGTGTTACGCATGTCGTCCCAACGGCTTCCGAACCGTTCATTGTTTGCTAGCCCTGGGACTGGATAGAAGAAGCGGAGGTGTAGTCAGTGTATGACGCGACACCGTGGAATGAAGGATATCTATATCGGGTTAGCATCTGTTGATGCATCACGACATTACGTAGGCCCTGTTTAAAGATGGCCACAATGATAGCCTCATAACAGAGTGATAGAACACTCAGTCTGCCATACCTTCTTAAACAATCTAGTCATTTCCTTGACTAGAGTCATTCCTCCATTCTTAAAAAGAGCTGGGGGTAAGTTGTCTGGGCCAGGTGCCTTGTGGTGTTTCAGAAATCATTGTTTCTTTTGGACCTCCGCTCGTTAGGTGGGTCAGTGTTAACTGACCATATGGGACAATACACTGAAGCTGACAACGCTAGAGCTGTGGGATAGCTAAACTGTTTTTTGAAGTGTTCCGCTTGGCATTCCAGGAGTCTTTGAAGATTGTTTGTTGGTATACCGTCTAGCTCACAGACTGTCTCACTGCTACCAAGCTTCTTGTTACCATTGGCTCGGATGAGGTGGAACAGCTTCTAACTATTACTGGTTGCATCTTCTGCTTCCATCTCATTCGCGCATTCTGACCACCAAGCCTCACGGTCCTTGCGTAAGCGTTGTTTAGTCTTTCATGTGAGAGACTTATGCAAACCATTGTACTCGCCATCCTCTGAAATGGTCCGATGTAGGTGAAGAAATTGGAGGGAGCTTCTAGAGACTCAGTGTTTATTGTCCGGACGTTATTTCAAGCCGCAAGCGACTTTACTCACCACTTTGATGGCGTCTTGCGAGTGCAGTAAATGCTTGTCTACGCACTATAGAGGATCGGTAGCTACCCTTAAATCTAGCTCGGATTGGTATTTATCTGCAATGGAAGGTGGAACTAATTTGGGTGCATTGATCTGTTTAGGATAACGGTTTCGATGACCACCAGAACGCTAGACTAGCTCAGCACACACTAAAGCATGATCGAATCCAGAAAAGTACTCAGTCCTATATGGACCCACATCATCGGTAGGTGATTGCAATGTGATCTAGTTTATTCTGGGCTCGAGTGGCACAGGAAAAACACTTATTGGCACAATGGCGATGACTGTGTCGGAAGTTGGTGCTGTCTATCGGTCACGACCGACAGCTGCTACCTTGACGTGGTGGTCGGGCTTGCATATCACAATGACCCAACGAGCTATACTGGCGGAACGCTTGTTCCCTCGAGGTCCTACCATACCAGAAAGGTCTGTTGGATAGTGGTTAGACGAAAAGCAGTTACCGTTGTGGTATAAATTGCTACACTATGATTGGGGTCTGAGGGCGAAATCATACTGCTGCTAGCTGGATGGGTTGTGACAGCAGTAAGGTGTTTCCTTTGGGTGAGCAGCAGTGCGATGCTGATTCTGCCTTGTAAGTGGAAGCGGGGGGGGGTGAGGGGGGTTAGAAAAGGTCAGCCCCAAAAATGACACACTCCACCATGCCCCACGGTCTGCCGGTTAGAGGGTGTTGGTTCATTTGTCGTTTCCCTTCGACCATCTAGCCCCAGAAATCCAAAAGTTCAAAATAATCATACACAAAAGGCTGAGTGTGACAGGCCTGAAGCAGATGTCCGATGTGCTCTGTGGTCACACAAATCTCTTTCAGGTACTTTAAGAAGAAATGGCCTTCTATGGTGTAGGCAGCCGGGAAGTGTCAACCACCCTCACAACTCTATCATCAAACAAGTTCCCTCACATCACTCTCACTTCCCTCATGTTACCTTACTTTATAATCGTCCTTCACGTCTCTCACTTAACAATCCTACACCATCTTCAATTTTTCCTAGGTCTACAGCCTTCGATAACGTTAAGAGTCCACAGAAAAGCTTCCCTGGTCTCCTTAAACCACACTCCAAACTATACATTAGAGCCTTCAATGTTCGCATTCTCCATCAAACTGGTCAACAAGCTTCATTGAATAAAAACTCTAGCAATTCGGGCAATGGATGTGTGCTGTGTTAATGAGACACGCATACAGGACCCATGTGCGGTTATTCACCTGACCTCTCCCGGTCAGTCTGCTGAATCAGCGAAGTTCACTCTTCGAGTTTCTGGAGACTTGATGGCTAGTTATCACAGTCTTGTATGTGTAGGCATAGCATTAGGCACTAGGGCAGAAAGCTCCTCTACTAGACTGGATCCCAGTTGACAGTTCCGTTAACTCTGTGTAACTGAACGGCACAGTGAGAACTGACCCGAACAGTCACACTTCCCTCTGCCTCTTTACAATCTCCGCTTACGCACCCACTGACTGTAGTTCAGATGAAGTGAACGATGACTTCTACTGAAAACTGTCTAGCCTCCTGAAAACCAAACGTTCAGACGTGGTGGTTGTTGCAGGTGTTTGCTATGAACAATTGAGTAGGCTGAGTCAGCAGTGAGGCACTTAAGTGGCAGTCGCAATCCCGGCTGAACGACTTGAACTATGGGCAGAACACTCTAAGGAACAGTTTAACTGGCCTCCAACCACCATTATGTTGCCGCTATTCAGTCGGATCCTGAATGGAACATTGAGATTGGCCCCCAACACTAGCAGAAGTCGAGAAAGCGGTATATAACCTGAAACGAGGAAGGACGGCAGGATCAGACAGACTAACTCCAAAGGTATACAAGAATGGTGGTAAGGTGTTCTTATTCAAGTTGTCTGAAGTGTTAACCAGTATATTGGAATCAAATACGATCCCCTCTGACTGGTCTGATTCACTGATTATTCCAGTGTTCAAGAAAGGCGATAAACCCTCTTATGATAATCACAGACGAATCAGTCTGATGAACATGGTGTCCAAGATCCTAGGTTCTATAATTCTTCGACGCCTGAGTGGAGCTCGAGAACAGCAGGCCGTAGAAAACCAAGCAGGCTTTAGGCCTTGCCGCGGGTGTATCGACCGAATATTCAGACTGCACCAGGTTTTGGAACACAGATACGCTTACCGTCACCCGACACTAGTTGTATTTCTCGACCTGAAGGAAGCGGCATTTGACTCCGTTGATCGAGAAATCTTATGGCAATGTCTTTTGTTGTAAGGGGGTATCGAGTAAGTATATCACATTATTGAAGGTTCTCTACTCGAACACTTGTGGGCGTATTAGAGCCTATGGTGAGATGTCCAGGGAGGTATGCTCATCAAGTGGTGTCCGTCAAGGGTGCCCACTCTCCCAATTCTTATTCAGTGTCATGATAGTCATCCATCAGACCTGCAATACGCAGATGACATAGTCGTGTTAGGTGAAGACGCTGACACGATGCAGAGTCTTCTGGACACTTTGAGTGGGAATTTAAGAATGTTTGGGATGCGTTTCTCACCACCCAGATGCAAATTGTTGCTCCAGGATTGGTCTTCAACGGTGCCCCACCGCGGCTAACAATAGAGAGTGTGGTGTTTGAGTGTATTGACCACTTCACTTATCTGGGAAGTGGGATTAGCCCTGGTGACTCAATGGTCAATGAAACCTCTGCACGAATACAAAAGGCTGGACTGGGTTTTGCCAACTTACGCCACCTGTGGCGCCACTGTGATATCCGACTATCTGTTAAAGGTCACGTGTACTGCACAACAGTCCGGTCTGTTCTACTTCATGGCTGTGAAACATGGCCATTGAAGGTGGGAGACATGAGAAGGCTTCAGGTGTTTGACCACAGTTACCTTCGTAGTATAGGCCGTATTCCGTGGTGTCACCGTGTGAGTAACGCAGACGTCAGGCATAGAGTTCTAGAGAGAAGGTGGCGATCTTAAACAGTACGCGTGGTTTCAGGATAGCTGTGTCAAATGTCGCATCGGAGGACAGATTTATGGGAACAACTGAAAAGCGAAATAATAATAATCAAAAAACTGGTTCGTATGTAAACACAACAAAACAATACATTAGCAATAAATTGAACAACTAATTATAATGTTCGTGGCGTGAAAGGCTTGAATATTTGCACAAAAGTTGTTTAATTGCTTCGAAATCTTCATTTTATGCTGTAATTCATATTTCGTTTGAGGTCTGGGATACTGCCTAAGGTTCCAGACAGAAGCAGGTGGTTGTTTTAGGAGGCCACTCCCTGAGTCTAATCCACAGGGCGGTGCAGGAACATCAGGAGCTGCATTCCTATCGTTGCCGAAGATCAAAATAGTTTCTGAAGCCCATGTACACCATTGGTTCGGAATCATGGTACTTCTACTCGCCTGAATGAACCCTCAGTATTCACCAATCCGGTGATAAGCACCGGACTTTCGCTTTCGTTCTTTCAATTTTGTGCCACATGAAGACTTCTCTGGCAGAGTCTGGGAACGCATACCAGGGCATTTGTGTAGCGCATTTTTCGATGCCCTTGCTGTACCATGCTTATGTTTTAATATCATAATAAGAATCTGGAGTATAATAAGTTCACGCGACCGTAGAAACATTAGTTCAGTGTTGTAAATTGACAAGTTCATTATGAATTTTACTTCCGTGTATCTTATTTGTGTTGTTCTAGATTTTAATAATTAAAATCTTTTTCATTTTGTGGGTCCTAACGATATTATTTCAAGTTGAGTAAATGCAAACAATTTTCTTTTTCCATTTTACAGACGGCAGTGTGTAAAATTCCTGGTCCAATTTTACTGATTCTTGCAAAAATGTGTTTAACATGGGCTAACTCTGGAACAGTTGGATATTTGATTTCTCTAGCTGACGACTTCATGTTATGCGGTATGCATATTTATGCTGTTTGTATTTATTTATAATTTCGAAATCTAATCTTCCTAGATTCTTTAAATTCATCGAGGCTTTGGATCTAAATTCTAGTTAAACCCTAAATATTATAACCTGTCAATCTGACAGAGTCTTACAATTATTAGTCGATAAAAGTTAGCAATCGTTTGACAGTAGACGTGGAATCAAGTACAACTGTAATGCTTGGTGGCTTCAAGAAGACCTCCATAAGTACATCTATGACAAAATTGAACAGGAATGGAGATATTGAAGACCCCTGGATGTAGGCAGCTCACCCGACAACTCACTATTGGCTCTTACACGCCCACGTGTGTTCTAGAAGTGTACTCTCAACAGAGTGATTTACTTACTCGACTCTCACATCAGTGAGAGACATTGCCATGTGACCTAATGATCAATAGAGTCGAGTGCTCCCTTCAAGTAGAGAAATACAGCTAGTGTTGGGCATCAATACGACGTGTGCTTGTGTTCCAAAACCTGGCACAGTGTGACTATCTGATTGATACACCCACGGCTGTCTTAAGTCTGGCTGGTTTTCTCGAGCTTGCTGTTCCTGAGCCCCACTCAGAGATCTAATGATCATAGAACTTAGAAGCTTATACTCTATATACATCGAGTTAATATCTCTGTTATTGTCACAGGAGGACTCTTTACCTTTCCTGAAGACTGGGACAACCAATGATTGAGACGAGTCACAGCGGATCGTATCTAAATCCCATACCTCAGTTAACACTTCAGTTGATTTGATTAAAAGTCCTCGACCACCGTCTTTAAGTACCTCTGGAACTGGTCTGTCCACCCTACTATCCTTAATCATTTCAGGCAGCCTACAGATTTCGCAATTTATACAAGTGTTAAGGCTCGTTTCTCAATATTCCACACAATCCGATTGGATAGCCGGCAACTCAACACCACCATAGATCATTTCAACTGTCTTCTCACAGTCTTCCACTTATCACTATAATCGTCTAACCTGCGAATGGAGCGCCCACTCATCTTTATCCGCCCCGACATAGTATCACTAACAACTAACTTTCTCATCCCAGCGTCCTTGATATGACCGTGATTTATCGCAACCATTCCTTAGACATCTTGTCAGTCTACATTTGAGTGGCTATCATACCTCATTGTGCTGTGAGCCTGCAAAGATGTGTTCACATGCACTCATTAATTCAGAAGAACCTACTGAGATTCACTGGTCCCTTTTAAACACTCTGAAAGTTGTCTGCGGTCTTCAATGATATTTTTACGGCAGACTGGAGATATCGCCAGCTTTCTTCCAGATTAGCGATGTTGTTCTGTACTGATAACTGATATGAGAACACAGCTGCCGTAGGTGATCGTCGTTATTTGTTCGTTTGACTTGGATTTCGTAGTTACTACCTATGTGTCTTTCTGCCTGACGTAGTCTACTCACATGTGCATTTAAATCACCTGCTATGATAACGACATTTGAACGCTTGGCTCTGAATATAAGGTAAGGCTGTTCTTCAGTCGAGCTCACCTTCCACTTCGTCCAAACTGCATTCAGTGGGTGCATAAGGAGAGATTACAGAAATACAGAGGTGAGTTTTGCTAGTCTCCCGAGTCCTCACTATGTCGTTCAGAGGAACAGTGGATCGGAGAATGTCATTTGGCATCAAGTCTAGCAATGCACTTAATGCCTTAGCACTTTATGCCTCACCTAAATCTGAAAGACAGTGAGAACTAACCATCGAATCTCCAGGAACTCGAAGAGTGACTTCTGCCGGCTAACCACATGGCCGACTGAGATTAAGTGGATAACCACACCTTGCTCCCATGAACGCGTTTCACAAGCACAGTACACGTTCATGGCTTGAGATACCAGAGTTTTGGCTAGTGAAGTATGTTGACCGATTTGTCGGAGGGTCTGGAGACTGGAAGCTTCAATATGCAATTCGGAGCGTGGTTTCAAGAGACCAGTGATGCTGTTACGTGAACTCGAATCATTGTCAATAGCTTCAGAGCTGAAAGAAGTTATAAATGATGTAGGATAATTGACCGAGAGACGCATAGAAAGATGAGAAGTTAAGGATGTGGACAGCTTGTAATGATCTGAGGTAACTCGAGTGTTGACAGAGTTAGTAGGGTGTTTGACACTTCCCGGTTGCCCACACCGTGGAAGGTTGGTCCTTCTTGAGAGACGCCTGGGAAGGAATGGTTAGTACGTGATGGCAGAGCTCAAGTGACATGTGCTTGAGGTCGGTGACACACAACCGTTTTAGAAGTTTGAGATTTTATTTGGTTTGTTTTCCTAGAATCCGACTATGAACGTATATGGTTGGCACTGGTCTGCCACGTGGTAAAGAGGAGTGTGGAATGTTTAGGTTTGACTTTTGATAACTCCTTCTTTGGATAGGGAGTGCAGTATCAACGTGGTACTGCTGATAATCCACGAAAAACACCTTACTGCCACCACACACCCCCATCCAGTCAGGAGTACGATTTCTCCCTAAGACGTACCTTGAAGCGTAGCGATTAACACAATAACGTTAACTGCTAATTGTACAACCATTTTGGTAGGTCCATGAAGGAGCAAGGTTTCGACCGAGGTGTCTTGTTTGACCGTGGTCATATGCAAGCTTGGCCACTTCATTATGTTTATAGGTTTCGTTGGGCAAGTAGTTATGAAACGTATACACTGCCTTAATGGCAGATGATTCATGTTTTCTGTGTTGAATCCCTTTGTGTGGAGTTTCGAAGAGTGGCGGAAGTTTACCTGTTGATAGCTTCTGCAGGTATTGCACTGAATTTGTTCATTGTGTGGGGGAATTGTTTCAATTTTGAGATAAAAAGGAAAATTTTTGGCTGAATTTGAGAATGGATATTATTTGATTTTCTCTGAGCATTGCCAACTGGTAGTAGACTTTTCATTATCAGGTGTTCTGATATCAGGAGAACCAATTCCACAAAGAGGATGTGAGTGCTTATGGTATGGCTGAATTTGGTGATGGACTCTTCCACAATGTATATTAAAGCTGTAAACGTACCGATGAATTGTTTAGGATTTCATCTGTAATGAATCCTGTTTTAAAGCCCTGAAGCTGTGAACTACAGCATTTAATCTTTAGACAATAGATTAAAGGTCATAAGATAATGTATGACTCAGAATTTGCGTTCGCAGCTGAATTTTTTTAAATAATGTGTGGTTTTTATGTGTTGCACAAATTGACAAGTGACTTGTTTGAATTATGATCATTAGTTTGGTTTTCAACAATCCACTATTAACCATTACTGCTATTTTGTAATCTCTTTTATTTCCCCCTTGTATCTTCTTATCAGGTACACAAGCAAAAGAAATTAAAAGTGAAGATTTCCTCTCTGATAATGGAGGTAAATCACTTACCACTTCAAAAGATGTGTCAGAGCGTTTTAGAAACACTGGTAATGAGCTTCTCATGGCTTTTGTTCGTTTAGAAGGCACAAACTTGGCACAGTTACTACGAAAGAGCGTAGAGGCAAGAGATTGGCTGAAGAATTTGGAGCCACGTTCAGTTCGTTCAGCTGTGAAGAGAGTGATAGAAGATTTAGTTTTATTAGATCATCAAGTAAGATATACAAGTAATCAACCTTCTAAAAATTGCATTTATTCAGATGGTTTGTACTATCAACAAGGTTCGATTCGTTGCACTATCTATGGTTTATTCTGACAGAACATATGTTTTCTTATGTTGAATTAATTTTGTTTAGCAATGGAATTTCGTGCATTTATGAAATTATTACCTTGTCAGTTATCGCATATCTTAATATTGTACCGCTATCTAACTTTTTAAAAACATTATTATTACATATGACATTTAGGTCAGTCAACTGTTCTCTTCTGGTACTCGTAACCGTGACCGAGTTTCTGATTCACGCTCAAGTCGTAGTCTGCGACCCAGCACTTCTTCTCATTACATAGATGCTACACGTTCTGGTGGTTCAGGGCAAGGGATTCCCGGTACTGATTTAGATCCAACTCTAGCTACTCATCTCCGCCGTCTGTTTACTCAAAGAGTAGATATTTTCGCCGCAGTTGATGCTAACCGGGAATCCTTGCTTCTAGGTGTAATTAAAATAGGTTTAAAGGTTAGTTAACTACATTTTGTTGTTGAGAACCTTGCATTCTTGGTGCTACACTACCTTTTGAATTTTTTGTATGTTCTTGCACGCAATAACCTGATTCAGACAGGGATTTATAGGTCCTGATAAAGTGGTGTGTGACCTAAGCAGAATGTTTTCTAAACAACATGTAGTTGTAAGATATATTTTCAATTTCCATCTCTTAAGGACAATTAAAATAGTTTTCAGGAATATACATATTTCTGATTTAGTCGACGATCTGTAAGTCTCACAGTATCACTTCACTTGATAGTGTCATTCACACTCATTGGCGCTATACGTTTCCTGTTTGATAACAGTATATGGAGTGTGGCGTTCTTTAATCACAGTTCCAATTGCCTTCTGCCTATATACTGTCACAGATGACACTGTGGGATTGTCGTCACTTTAAATGGGACATAAACAGTTCCATGTATTTTTTTCTTTATGTTGTGATTTCTTCTACAATAACTTGAGTTACAAGTCATATTTTGCTGACCGGATTGACAAAAACGTTAAATCTTCAAAGAAAATATCTGACCAAGTAATTCCATTTTAATTTGTTTATTAGAAATATCACACAGGGAAACAGTAACATTTACTGAATAACGTTTCGAACACAATTTATTGTCCATATTCATATCAGGTAACTCCACAACTTCGAGACAGACTTTACATATTCCTAATTTTCTCTCCTTCTCTATGATGACAAGGGTAGTAGAATTTCCCATATATCTAGGACAGGTGCAGACTCATTTCGATTGCATGTGTTTGGTGTTGATTCGATAAACAAAGATTCGGATCAACACCAAACACATGCAATCGAAAATATTCTGCACCTGTCCTAGATATATGGAAAATTCTACTACCCTTGTCATCATAGAGAAGGAGAGAAAATTAGGAATATGTAAAGTCTGTCTCGAAGTTGTGGAGTTACCTGATATGAATATGGACAATAAATTGTGTTCGAAACGTTATTCAGTAAATGTTACTGTTTCACTGTATGATATTTCTAATAAGCAAACTAAAATGGAATTACAATCGACCACAGTGCCCAAGTTTTACTCTTATATTAATCTGACCAAGTAGTTTTCCTTAACAAGCTGTCAAGAGATATTTCTGAGCATTATTTTTTTTCATATATATTTCGTCTGTCCTTGACATCATTTTATGGCACTTCTTAGTACAAATTGTTATCTAGGTATTAAACAAGCCATTTTACTTCATACCTGCTCTTGTGGAAGTGGTTACATAGGCCACACAAGACATGTTCTATCCAAACGCATCTCCGAGCACTATTCTGCATGACTGTCTTAAGGACAGTACAAAGCCATCAACAGCTCGATTCCTGAAAATTTAGTTATCTCTCATCACTGCGCTCCACTGGAGTTTTCCTTCAAAGTCATTTATAAAGGGAAGTCAAAATTTCGAAGTTAGTGCGTATTCGCCACTTCAACATAGAAGAGGCTTTTTCAGTCCAGCGTAGCAAGCCTGACCTTTGAGTTCAAAAGAGATATATTCAATCTCTAATTTTGCCTTCGTTCTTATCTCCCTAAGACAGTTTATTCATTTCTTTGTTTATTGACTATAATCTTAAAGCAATTCTTAATGACCTTGATTTGACCTTCTAGCCGTTATTACTTTGTGACTTTTACTGGCAGTTTTTGATGACTTTATATTGACCCATTAATTATTGGTGGATACATATTTTGTTAGAAGTGTGATTACAATGTATAGCTTTTGAAACCGATTCGTTGAAAAGAAAATTTTCTTCGCTGAATTGTCTTTTATCAGAAAAACATTTACACTTAAAACATGTACGATTAGTATTGTGAACACAGCAATGATTAGCAGTATGTATTTACGGTCCGTCTAAGTTGTGATTATTCTAATTTCCTGATATTATCCGATCCTTAGTTATTTACAAATTTAAATCGAACAACCTTCCAGTGATATATCTTTCTGGTACACTAAACTAATTCCGTTCAAAACTGTTTGAGGAAGCATAAATGCTTTCAAAGTTTTTATATTGCATCTTGTTATCAAAGGCTAATAAATATGTAACTTGAACGCGTAAATTTGTGTCAGCTGCACCAACACATAACACGCATCACTGAGTGTTACACTTTTAGACCATTCTTGTTTATAATTAATTACGTTGTTTTTGTGTAAATACTGAAATTCACTCAGCATCACTGAGAATTAAGGGATTATTTTTGTTACTGTTATAATGAATTCATATGCAGTTTTAATGTATCGATAAATTGGATTTTAACACGTAATGACTTACCTACTTCCTTTTTGTTTCTTTTCACTGGTTAATTTTGCTAAATTTGCTGTGATTAGACTTTAATAGAATGTGTACGCTTGCAAACATTTGGTCGTTACGGTTTACAACAGATACAAGTTGATTGTCGATATTTGCAAATTCACTTATGGCACTTTGTAAATGATGAAAAGTGAGTTTTCTGGTACTTAGTTTAGCAGAAGAATTGTTTATCTGTATATCCTTTCGTTTCACCTTCTCCCCGTAACAACTTCCTGAAATGTAAAGGAAGTAAAGTTTGAACGTATTCAGATCGTAAACATATTTTACTGAACAGATATAGAAAAATCAATATTAAGAGCTCGTTTCATTTGTGTGGATGTCCGACTAAGAATTATTGGAATATGAATTCGAACTCACTCCTCATGATTCACTTGACCAGTTGAATTTTATCAGACACTGAAACAATTAGCATAACTTATATTCCAACTCATGATTACAGAGTTGATTCTTTCCATCTATATTTAAATCTATGTCGGGAATGTATCATGTATTAGTTTTATTATTTCATGGTCAAACAATCAGATGTGGTCTGTAGGTGGGCGATATTCACTCTACCAATTTTAATTATGAAGTAAATATTCTTTTAGTCATCGGCCATACATCGTTCTGGTATTATTCTTATTTTTGTAGTTAACTGTTGAAGTTATAAAGTGAATTGCCAGTTATGTACTGATTAGCGTGTATTCTATCAACATTAGATAAATACGTTTAGATCTTTTCATTTATTAACCCTGAGATCTTATTAATGGTGTGTTCGAAACAGCTTCCCTTCGGAAACCGACTATTAAATTTAAGCTTCGGCTTTTTTACTGACGAGATTTATTGCTACTTAAAAAAATGTTTTTAGTCCAGTGGTTTGTACTTGGTTGTTGACATTTTGTAAGTAGTTTGAAAACAATTAACCACATTATTACTATTAAGGCCATCTGGAAAGTTGTTTAAGTGCCAGTTGGAGCCTTATGCTTTCCCGTATTTCAGTGGCGAGTCTGATTATTTCAGATAGACAGAGTCTCGACCGATAGGTGCTACCTAAACATGATGGTCGGACATAACTATAAAAATCAAATGTCGAAAGTTGTGCGATTACATTGATATGATTATGAGCAAAAATTATGCTCAAAACGTCATCAATGTGAACAGTATTACATCACTGTGTTACCAATCACATAAAAAATGTAATATGGAATGATGGTCGAACTTGAGCATCATAATAACCCGACCAGCTACCCCGGTTGAACTCTTGTCCATTCAACGTCCTAGCATGGTCTGGTGTGCAGTGGTTGCACAATAATAGTTAACGTTATTGTGTTAATCGCTACGCTTCAAGGTACGTCTTAGGGAGAAATCGTACTCCTGACTGGATGGGGGTGTGTGGTGGCAGTAAGGTGTTTTTCGTGGATTATCAGCAGTACCACGTTGATACTGCACTCCCTATCCAAAGAAGGAGTTATGAAAAGTCAAACCTAAACATTCCACACTCCTCTTTACCACGTGGCAGACCAGTGCCAACCATATACGTTCATAGTCGGATTCTAGGAAAACAAACCAAATAAAATCTCAAACTTCTAAAACGGTTGTGTGTCACCGACCTCAAGCACATGTCACTTGAGCTCTGCCATCACGTACTAACCATTCCTTCCCAGGCGTCTCTCAAGAAGGACCAACCTTCCACGGTGTGGGCAACCGGGAAGTGTCAAACACCCTACTAACTCTGTCAACACTCGAGTTACCTCAGATCATTACAAGCTGTCCACATCCTTAACTTCTCATCTTTCTATGCGTCTCTCGGTCAATTATCCTACATCATTTATAACTTCTTTCAGCTCTGAAGCTATTGACAATGATTCGAGTTCACGTAACAGCATCACTGGTCTCTTGAAACCACGCTCCGAATTGCATATTGAAGCTTCCAGTCTCCAGACCCTCCGACAAATCGGTCAACATACTTCACTAGCCAAAACTCTGGTATCTCAAGCCATGAACGTGTACTGTGCTTGTGAAACGCGTTCATGGGAGCAAGGTGTGGTTATCCACTTAATCTCAGTCGGCCAATGTGGTTAGCCGGCAGAAGTCACTCTTCGAGTTCCTGGAGATTCGATGGTTAGTTCTCACTGTCTTTCAGATTTAGGTGAGGCATAAAGTGCTAAGGCATTAAGTGCATTGCTAGACTTGATGCCAAATGACATTCTCCGATCCACTGTTCCTCTGAACGACATAGTGAGGACTCGGGAGACTAGCAAAACTCACCTCTGTATTTCTGTAATCTCTCCTTATGCACCCACTGAATGCAGTTTGGACGAAGTGGAAGGTGAGCTCGACTGAAGAACAGCCTTACCTTATATTCAGAGCCAAGCGTTCAAATGTCGTTATCATAGCAGGTGATTTAAATGCACATGTGAGTAGACTACGTCAGGCAGAAAGACACATAGGTAGTAACTACGAAATCCAAGTCAAACGAACAAATAACGACGATCACCTACGGCAGCTGTGTTCTCATATCAGTTATCAGTACAGAACAACATCGCTAATCTGGAAGAAAGCTGGCGATATCTCCAGTCTGCCGTAAAAATATCATTGAAGACCGCAGACAACTTTCAGAGTGTTTAAAAGGGACCAGTGAATCTCAGTAGGTTCTTCTGAATTAATGAGTGCACGTGAACACATCTTTGCAGGCTCACAGCACAATGAGGTATGATAGCCACTCAAATGTAGACTGACAAGATGTCTAAGGAATGGTTGCGATAAATCACGGTCATATCAAGGACGCTGGGATGAGAAAGTTAGTGGTTGGTGAGACTGTAATGGATGCGGATTGGTCTGTGTTTCATTCACATAGTGCACAAATAGAGCACACTGGGGGAAGATTTTGAGCGATCAGTTTAAGTATCTTTTAGTTACTGTTGAGTTGCCTGCCATGTAATCGGACTGTATGACCTCAATTCTTGTAGAATGCGAGAAGGTTGTAGGCTCGTCTTGAATATGATGTTCTAGGAATTGGTCTGGAGGAACGCCTAGTTTGGGAATGAGTGTATTAATTGAATGCATCAGTGACTTCCCTTACTTAGAGAGTTGCATCAACCTGAAGGGACTAAATGGTAGATAGCTTCAGGATTGCCTTACGAAGACGTTAATCTTAGCCGTGTGGGAAGGTGTATATTTTCTGTTTAGGGTCCTCAGAATGGTTGGAATCAGTGCTTGGAGACCGTTGGTGACATGGATGAAAGTCGGTGACAATGGTGCAGATGTATTCTTTCATTGACATCTGCTAGGGCTTGAATGTATTCGTCAAACTGTTTTTTCTGTCGCACACATTTGTCTACTCTGAAACCAGTTTTTATCCTATCCACTTGTTCTTCGCATGCTACTCTAAGTTGTCGCAACTTGAACCATTTCGGTTGTGTTTTCGGTTTTACATTATTTTGTGAATGTGTCTGTTTACTAAGAATGTACGTTATTCCCATGCACATTCATTTTCTCTGATAGGTGTTCTTGTGGATATATCGTTAGGTGCGTTTGGCTTCTCAGGGGTTGACTTACAGGATAGCACTTTATTGGCTTGGAGTATGTATATAACATAATCATGTTAGACGAATACGCTGACAAAAAGTGGAATTTCCTGAACGCGTTGAGCAGAAAACTGAGTGTGATTAACTTGCATTTCGCACCTGTCAATCAAACATATGATGATGATGATGATGATGATTTAGTACTACTCTGCATTGAATCATAGATTAAGGATTAGAACTGAACTGTAAAAATGTGGATTGATTACGCAACTTACTCGGGAAGTTATATCGGCGCTTCTAGGCCGGTTGCAGATGGAATCTCAACTTAAATAATCATGATCCGTTTGGCCTTTGCTACCTCACCTTATTTCTGGTTCTAGCTGAATACTTGACTACTTTTTGAGGAACAAGTATGGTGCGCTGCTGTGTCCTCCTGGTGTGCGGCTATGAGACAAGGCCGTTGGAAGTAGAAGATATGATCACAGTTGTCTTTGGAGCATTGCTCACATATGGTGGAATCACTGTGTGAACAATATCGAGGTCAGTCTTAGGGTACTACGTTAGGAGGGCAAGTTAGTTGATAATGTTGGGAATCTTCATTGTTATACACAGTACATGTTCAAGCCACTACCTACCTCGCCATACAATGTTAGCCGAAGTGGAGTTGGTTTGGAATTCGGAACATCGACTTCATACATACTCGTGCACTATGCTATGATTTGCTTTAGTATGTAAAGGTTATTGATTCTCTTCCGTTGTCAAATTTACTGGCAAGTAGGATGGGTATGAATCTGCATTTATTTAATAGCTTTCATGTATAAACCAACTGATTAGATTTTTTTAACACTAATGATACTTTCTTTGTAATAATATTGGTCGACATTATCTTTGTGGAATTTGTTGATTCTTTTCAGGCTTATTTGTATGTTACTAGAAGATGTAATTTACAGTGTTGTTCAGCGTTGCGTTGATCCATCTTTTATGGAAGAAAGTGTAAGTTCAGATTTATTATTTAAAAACAGTTTCAATGTTGAAATATGATAACCACTTAGGGGTAAGATATATAAATAATTTTTCAGATTTCGTTTGGTGGAGAAACTACTTACTGAGTATATAAGCTTCTATAGAACTTGGCTACTATCCGGTTGAGTTGGTCATCTATTCAACAAAACTGGTTTACTTACTTCACATTTCATAAAGTTGTAAGTCAGTTGAACAGAAAACGAATAAATACCAGTTACTTTTATTCGCCTACAGATGTCACAGCACTTGTGGGACATGGAATAAAAAAAGAATTTTTAATGCTCTTGGAAAAACCAAATATGCTCAACATACAAAAATTAATATTGTGAAAGTGTGGTTGTTCTCTGGAGTTTATCTCTGAAACTTTTAATTTAGGTTTTGTAAGAGAACAAACTTCCGTAGTCTTGAATAAAGTTATATCTTCCACTTATCCAAGTAAAGTGTATAAGTTGATTTAAACTATTATCAATTCCATGATTATTTAACTAGTTGTCTTTGGAATACATCGTCTTCATCGATTTTAAGAGGTATGGATTATTATTGGTTACCATAAATCAGGCGATGAGGAATCATTTCTCCTCACTTTTTTACTACTACCCTATTTACCATGTGTATTAGATTAGTCTGTTTGATGTAGCTACCACACGGTCTTATATGATATATCGATACGATTATGAACAATAATTTCTCATCGAAATATCATCTAGTAAATAATATTATATCGTTGTGTGTTGTGGGGAGCTGTGGCTTGATTGTTTGGGGAGATGACCATGAACTATTTAGTCATGAGTTCAAACCCCACTCCACCTACTGAGGTTTGGGTAGCCAGGTAGTATCATTAGCCCTCACACAAAAGGTGTGGCTCATTGCCTACTGCACGGATGTGCACAAGGTAGCTGAGTGCGCTTATTTCTGTTTTATCACTGTGTGCTGTATCAAATAGTCTAGTCTATTATGCAAGGTCTCGGTATTTTTTACCAAGGTATTCACAGATCATGGACTCAACACCTTTTAAGTATTTCAGTCCATTTTCATACGATAACATAATCGAGGAGATAAAAATAACAGTCTAACTCTGTGGAAAGTTATATGATAAGAAGGGTTAAGGCAACTAAATGTGACATTGCAATCGATTTCGAGTCATATTTGAGTGACTGGTAGAATAATAGGAAATACGAGAAGCTCTACTAGCGCAATTAGACACTGGACTGCATATGAATAGTGATTCTTCTCCCTCTGACCTAATACTTCCTTAAGCCGCGGAAAGTAGAAGAGAAAGATCGGCTTCTGACTGTGAGGAAGACAACTTTATTCAACGAAGATCATCATTTACACCTAGTCTTTCCTAAGAAAATAACGCCACTAGATCTGAAGTTGGATACTTATTTTAATTTGTGAACTGTAGGACGAAACTGCTCATTAAGGTTTTATCTGACAACACAGTAACATGAAACCATGGTTGAAATCCAAAACATCTGTGTCGACAGCTGATGAGTTAGAATTCTGATTCTGATTTGGGTCGCTTCCCATCACATATCATACAGAGTTTCCAGCCATCAGTTTCGGCTATCAGGTAGGCTACAACCTAAAGGTTTACATTTCTTTATACGGTTCAGACTAACAAACAGATTCCATTGATTTTTCGACCTTTCTTAGTTTTTTTTGCAGCCTAATTGTTTCATCCAACATGTAGGTTTCATGGTGTATATCCCCAACAACCGACTCATGAAATTCATGTGAGACTACATCTAGCCTTCCTATTGCTCACTTTGTTGTCTCAGTACACAGGTGCGATGAAATTACTGATATATACATCAGTAAGCCTGACGTTATTGTTCTCTTTTATCGTCGACCTGAGTGTATGCGTTGGTTATTTGTTGGTTAGCGATCGTTGCTAGAACAGTCATCACATTTTTATTTGTAAGCCAAAATATAAATAAATAGTGAGATTTCCTTGATACAATTCTTAGATTTTGAAATGCTAATGAAATGCTTCTACTTTTATTGACATTTCCCGCTTCAGGTTGTCGAGGCAATTTGTGATCGGGCATAGGATGATTCTCTTGTTTCGTGTTTTTTCCATTGTTTTTTTGACTGTTTCTTCTTCTAAAAGAATGTTATTTAACCTCCATCTGTGATATCGCTCCAGTCGTTCAATACCGTTGTTTTTTTCTAACATAAAGTTGTGAAGTAACCAACTGTCATTTATAGTACTGCGTTTTTGTGCGTTTGTGTTCGTAATTATTCTACAATATTTTCAGCAATTTCTGATGTTCTGTGAATTCCCCTCACTTGTCTATTTTAGTAACTTTGTGTTTTAATTATTCTTCTTCTTATTATTATTACTGCTATTCATTTCAAAGCATCAAAACATTTTAAACTTCATTTTTATTTTTATTCACCTGACCATGGACATCTCTCTTGTATCGTGTACCCAACTCTGTCTACTGAAGTATTAAACTAACAGTGCCCATGATGCTCCACTTACCTTTTTTTAGGAACGGGTATGCAATCCTTGCTTAGGCTAAGCATGAGATGTTGGGTAGGTCAGAAAATCACTACGAAATACCACAAACATTTATCAATCTCATTCAACAACTATATGAAAATGCCACATGTCAAGTAATTCACAATGGGAAGCTCAGTGATGCTTTTGAAGTGAAGATAGGAGTAAAACAAAGCTGTCTACTATTACCCATGATATTCCTGATTGTAGTGGACTGGATCATGCAACAAACAGGAGCGAGAAGAGGGGGATACGCTGTTTGACCGGGGAAAAGAACCTAGAAGATTTAGATTTCGCCGATGACTTATGTCTGATGTCACACAAACTTGAAGATCTACAGGCGAAAACTAACAAGTTGACAGAAGAGGCAGGGCAGGGCAGCGAAGACAGGACTTCAAGTGAATGTAGAGAAGACACAGATGATCAGGATACCCAACCAACGCCACCACCACCAACAACAACAACAACAAACTTCAATCACCATCAACGGGAGAAACTTAAAGTAAGTAGTCTTTTTCATCTATCTAGGCAGCACTGTTTCAACTACAGGCAGCACAGGCACACACGAGGACGTCAAAACCAGTCAGGATCGGAAAGACAGCAAGACAGGCGTTCATTAGCCTGAAACCAGTGTGGAGATCTTCCGCACTCAGCATGTGGAACAACATCCGGATTTTCAACACCAACGTCAAGTCAGTGCTTCTGTGTGATGGTTCACAGACTTGGTGCGTTACAAAAGGCATTTCCAACAAACTACAGACATTCATCAACAACTGCCACCTACGAGAGGCTCGTTACTGAAGATCAGATGGCCAGAATAATAGGAATAAGCAACAAGGAACTGTGGCTGGGTAACGAACCAACGAAGCAAGAAGCTATCGCCCAACAAATATGCACTGGAAGGAAGTGGAGATGGATTGGGCATAGACTGAGGAGGCCGACTGGGGATATCACGCGCCAGGCCGGGCCCTCGAGTGGAAGCCCGATGGGAAGCGACGAGTTGGGCGTCCCAGGTGTGGGTGACATGAAGGAGATCGTGCGAGGAGGACATGAGAGGTTGTGGGCTGTCGTGGAGCGAGGTTTAAAAGATTGCGTAGGACGGAGTGGAATGTAGACGTGCTACTGAAGCCGTATGTTCCACTAGGAACCCAAGGGACAACTAATAATAAATATTCTAACTTGGACACATGCAATAGGTTTTAAGCAGATTGAACATCCACATCATTCAAGCTCGCTAAAATCTGTTGGATTAAAAGTTCGTTAGATCGAGGTGTCAAATTCATGCATTGGATCAGTGACGTTCAGCTGAATCCCAGGGAAAAGAATTTAAATATCTGAAAAACAGTTTTTGTGCTGAAGCCATTGGAAATAATTGCAATTTTCATTAGTGGATTATTTTGGAGATTTCCATTCGTCAACCTGTACTAACATCCTGTACATTTAATCTTATTCTGGAGTGAACAGTCCACTATGAAAATCCAGGTGACTTTTCCACAGTCCTCATATCTGTTTAGTTCCTGGTGAACGATACTGTCTTTACTCGGAATTCGTGTTTGCATTTCACAATGACATCAACATTTTTCACCCGACATCCTAACAGATAAACAGGGCGTTTTTAGTGTGGAACGACAACATAAAATTACCCTTACAGTTAATGTGGTACGCGATATTAGGGATCGACATCAAAACTGAACAAATGATTGTAAGATGTATGATCACTATGAGGTGTTTGGGGTGGATAACCAGGAGTTCAAACTGATACTCCCTTTTCCGAAGAAAGTAGGATATAGGAATGGTCGGTCTCAAATATAGCATATCGCTTCCTTCCGTCTGGTCTTCTGATGCCGGTTGAATAAGGTGTCTAGATGGAATAAACAAAGTTGAACCTCAAACTTCTAGAGAGGGTTGATCTGTAACTTGCTAAGAGGCAGATGCTTGTGTGATATTAGGCCACGACAAATTCAACCACTGTCTTTCGCATACCTTCAGTAGAAGAAAAAGTCGAAGAGGAATAAGAATAAGTAGCTTGCGGAATGATGTTGGGATATGGAAGGTTTTGAACGCACTCACATGTCTTTCAACACTGAAGTTCTCTGAGATCAGCCATTATCAACTTTCCATACGTTTGGGTTTTAATTCCTTTTCATATCTCTGTGTTAATTGTTCTAAGCCATCTTTCATCACTTCAAGCTCTACAGCCACTGATAACAATTCGAGTTATGAAACAGAACTCTCTGTCTCCGGAAAAAGAGGTCCAAACTAAATATACATATAGGAGCTCTCTTCATTCTCCGTGAAATCGCCAATCTCTGCCCTTCGAAGTGTGCTTTGGTTGTAGAACATGAAGACAGGAATCTAGCGCAGTTATTCATCTAAAATCAACATGACGAATCTGCAAAGTTCACTCTCCAAGTATCTGCAGTTTAGACGGCTTGTTATCGCAGTGTTGTGGCTATAGGTTTGGCAGTAGGATGTAAGGTGGAAAGTACACATATACAATCCTTAGTCTACTCTTGAAAAACCGGACGCCAAATACTAGCAGAAGTTCAGAAGAAATAAGAGAATCTCCGCAGCTGCTCCTCCTTCATGGCATATATACAAACACCTTACAGGCTCCAAACGCAACAAAAAGAATATGGAACACAAGTTAAGCTTGAGAGGTAGGTTATACAATGACCGTGAGCAGTTGTGGACAGCAAAAACCATAGATATTGAAACGGCAGTGGTGATGGGTAACTGTGGACAACTGTTTTGACTGGTCAAGGAAACCGGAGCGAAACGGTCAGTGGTTAGTAAGACTGTAACTGAGAAGGGTGGGTAGACGACTCAGTCGTAGGGGAGGTGACTAGAACGATGGGCAGAACATTAAGAGGAACAGCTCAACTGGCTTCCAGCCAGCCTTCGATTCCTTGCTATCCAATCGGATCCCGAATGAAACCTTGAGACAAGGTCTCCGCTTGTCGCAGAAGTTGATAAGAGTGAAACGAAGAAAAGTAGCATGTTCCAATGAGCTAGTGCTGGAGACAATTAAGAATGGTTTTCGGGAATATCGGTTAGACTGACTGTATTGCTAGGTGGCGCAGAGTAATACGATGTGACCCTGTTTGACTGGTTACAATGGCTGATTATGGGACATCCTCTTGTGATGACCTGATACTTGGTTTGACGGTTACATGGGAACAATCTTTTTCCCTAATGGTCTTTTTAGTCTCTGTCATCTTCTTGGCAGTGTCCTTAATGGTTCTTATTCATTTATTGGCTAATTAACTAACTGGCTAAGTAATTAATTCGTACACTATGTGCATGGTAAATTTTCAATTGGACGAATACCAAGGTGGACTCTGCAAGTTTAGTGCACTAGTGGAATTTGTGACACCTTCCAGCAGCATACAAAAACAAATACGTAGAAAAGAGTGATGTGAAAGTAGGCGTGTGGGAAGAAAAAAAATTTACAACATCAAGGTTAGCGGATGAGTGGATGTATCTTCGGCATTGTAACTGAAGTTTAGGCATGTCAACATGGGTTGGCAACCGTTGATTCCTGTCGTCTAGAGAACCGCAACCAAGCAGTTTACTCCTCTCAGACCAATAATTAGAGACATGATGGACTGATACCACGTCTAAGTCTGGTCACCCTGAGACTTCCACCCAACTCAATCAATCCTACATTAGACGTCGAGGTAGACAGGGTTTCGGTATGCGCAGCACATTTCCAAGCCACCTCAGTCGACGAAGTTTCACAGCATCCTGACCGATAGCTGCTACCTTGACGTGGTGGTCGGGCTTGCATATCACAATGACCCAACCAGCTATGCTGGTGGAACGCTTGTTCCCTCAAGGTCCCACCGTACCAGAAAGGTCTGTTGGATAGTGGTTAGACGAAAAGCAGTTACCGTTGTGGTATAAATTGCTACACTATGATTGGGGTCTGAGGGCGAAATCATACTGCTGCTAGCTGGATGGGTTGTGACAGCAGTAAGGTGTTTCCTTTGGGTGAGCAGCAGTGCGATGCTGATTCTGCCTTGTAAGTGGAAGCGGGGGGGGTGAGGGGGGTTAGAAAAGGTCGGCCCCAAAAATGACACACTCCATCATGCCCCACGTTCTGCCGGTTAGAGGGTGTTGGTTCATTTGTCGTTTCCCTTCGACCATCTAGCCCCAGAAATCCAAAAGTTCAAAATAATCATACACAAAAGGCTGAGTGTGACAGGCCTGAAGCAGATGTCCGATGTGCTCTGTGGTCACACAAATCTCTTTCAGGTACTTTAAGAAGAAATGGCCTTCTATGGTGTAGGCAGCCGGGAAGTGTCAATCGCCCCCACAATCCTGTCAACACTCAAGCTTCTTCTGACTGCTATCCACCTCCCTCATCATTACCTCATAATCTTGCTTCACGTCTCTCAGTCAACGATACTACATCAACTTCAATTTCTCGTATCTCTGTAGCCTTCGATAACGATCTGAATCCACAGAAAAGCTTCCCTAGTCTCCTTAAACCACACTCCAAACTATACATTGGAGCCTTCAATGTCCACACCCTCCGTCAAATTGGTCAACAGGCTTCGTTAGCAAAGACTCTGGCAACTCGGGCCATGGATGTGTGCTGTGTTTGTGAGACACGCATACAGGACCTAAGTACGGCTATTCACCTGACCAGTCTGGTGAATCCGCAAAATTCACCCTTCGAGTTTCTGCAGATTCGATAGCTAGCTCTCGTGGTCTTGCAGGTGTAGGCATAGCACTAAGCAAGCACTAGGGCAGAAAACTCACTACTAGACTGGATCCCAGTTGATAGTCGCGTCTGCGCTATGCGGCTGAACGGCACGGTAAGAACTAAAAGGAATAGTGAGACTCGCCGTTGTCTCTTTGTAATCTCTGCTTAGGCAACCACTGACTGCAGCTCGGATGAAGTGAAGGACGAGTTCTACCGTAAACTGTCTAACCTCCTCTCGAAAGCGAAACGTTCGGACGTGGTGGTT